GGCTCTGACGATCGGGTCCAGTTAGGTTGTAACCTTCCAACCTAGCCAACTGACCCCTCTCGGTGAAACTGATCCTTCTCGGTCTGTTGTATCGTAGCCGCGGCTATCGTGTGATTGAACCTTACTCTTGCCTTCGAAGCCGGGCCGGCTTCCACGGAATTCCTGATGTTAGTTACTAGTAAATTGTATATGCGTTCGAACAGGCTGGGCTGCGGGCTTCAACGTTCATGGATTATCTCGGTAGTTGACGATAGCTTCCTATCGCCCGCTTGGCTCCAACAGTACCACATTATTTTGCCGCGTTAATTGCCAAGGAAATTTCCAATCCGTCCTACATGGATTGGCGTTAGTGAAATGCTTTTCTCGGAATTTTATGGCTTATTTGATATACAGTATCCCGAAGTGATCGTCTGAGTGAGGGAATTGATGGCTGGGAGTAATGGCACATACCGGTTCGCCAGTGGGCTCAAAGCTTGCCACTAGCTCTGAGAGATATGCTAGTTCACCGTTTTCAGAAGATCTGTGACGCTGCTGATTGGCCTGGATGTTGTCCCGGATAGTGGTTCTTTCGGCTTGCGTGCCTCTGACATACTCCAGATACCCAGGCGCTCCTGGCGATATGACATTATCCGCAATAACAAGAGAACCGGAACGCACCAGAGACAGCTCTTCGCAAAGAATCAGGTCATATACGTAAGCCGACTTCTGATGGTCAAGAAAAAGGAGATCGATCTGCAGCTCAGGTTGTTCCTGTCGCAGCTGTCTCAAGGAAGCGTCGCATGGGCCAACTCGAACTTCGACGAAGTCATCTAAACCAGCAATCGCCAGGAGGGAGCGGGCAACCGCCGCAAATTCCTCGCTCTTTTCGAGGCTGATATACTTCTTGCCCCCTGCTCTGCGCACAGCATCACCAAACATTATGGCAGAATACCCGACATAGCCGCCTAGTTCGACCATCGTTGCCGGACATTTCTCTGCAATCTTTCGCGACACAATGGATCCCTTAGCTTGCCCAACGTTCATTAAAAAGTCGTGGTTTCGGCCGAAATCGTCAATTGCTTCCAGTACCCTCTCTGGCACTCCCATCATGGTGGATAGATTCGGGTGGGATTGAATACCGGCCAGGAGCTGCTGCTCTCGGCCATCATTGCACTGAACTCGGTTATTACACAACACTAATGGTCTTCGCAGGTGTGACAATACTCACAAACACTTCCTCTTCTGGTTTGTAAAATTGAGACATGGTGTTTTCTTGTCACTGTTTTCTTTGTATCGGAAAAGTCTGAGATACATACGAGTGACTGCTAGTATTCGGGGTTTATATTCCATCTAAACCTCAAACCTGATTGCATTTGCAATGCATCTGTGTTGATACAACTGTCTAGCATCTACCCAGGAATGCATTGCGCATTCTTGAGCTCAAGCTAAAGTGTCCGTGACATGTAACATGCCAGTCAAAGCAGGGAAATATTGATGATATTAGCTGAACTCGGTGACATTTATATTACATTCTTGGTTCCTTTGCGTAGCGCGTTCAACTTGAGCAAGATCACGTCGCATGTTCGAAACAGTCTCTCCAAGCAAGAGTAAGAAGTCATAAATTAGCGCGACGCAAATTCCCAAGATGATCGCTTCTGTTCATGCTGGCCTCACTAGGAACAGCATGAGCCTCCTGGCGGTACTTTTTCTAAGACACTTCATGCTAATTCCGGCAGATACGGGCGATGAGACAGCAAGTCAGGTGCGTTTTGCAACAACAAATAGATGTAGCACTTATATCCTGTCTATGGAGGAATGATAAAATATTAATCACCTGCCCCAAATAGCGAATCTCAGCTCAACTAGCTGAAATCTAGCTATCGTAAGAAAACGCCTAAATATCCGTTCTATTAGAGGATTACATCAACGATCGCGATCCCAAGACATGACGATAATGATAGTAACCATTCTTGCCTATTGATTTACATACATAAACGTCTTCCTGGTCTAAGCCCCCATCATGGTCTTTATGCACCCCGATGCTCTGTTCTCGTCCCAAACCTTCTCACAATATCAATTATTCTGATACGATACTTGACTTCCGATGCGGAGGCCACAAGAGAAAACATTCGATGTGGCGATTGTTGGTGCAGGCCCAGCAGGGTGAGTTATAAGGGAAATTTCAAATTATCAATTCAAGAAAGAATAACGTATGACCGATGCCAGACTGATCGCGGCGGCCTGGATGGCGGTGGCGAACGTCAAGACAATACTCATAGACAAGAACGCATCCCCTCCGCCATATGGACATGCTGACGGTCTGGAACAACGGAGCTTTGAGATTTTAGATGCATTCCACCTCGGACATACCATATGGCAAAGCGCACATAAGACTATCCAAGTTGCATTCTGGGTACATTCTCCTCCCTCCAGCAGGTTCGATGGGGAGAACGCTGGGTGCTAGCTTTCAATAGCACTCACTTCTCGGTTATGCACATATTGTCCTGCGCTGGTCGATAAGGTTACACTCACTAACATGAAGAGATAGAAAAGCGTCAATCATACCCTTTCTCGACAATTCATCACTCAGAATTCCTCTAAATCTTCAGAATATGGTTCCTTCTATTGTGAGGCTACTCTAGCTCAAGGCCGCATAGAAGAGCGACTCATCGACTTCTTAAGGCAGCATGAAAACGTAGAGATTCTTCGAAATCATCACCCGACTGACATGCGTATAAGTCATGATCTCGCATGTGATGTGAAGGCCGAGTATCCTGTTCATCTCCGTATTGAGAAGATGCCAACCCATGTTGCCACGCCCGAAGCCGCGTTTACAGCGACGGGGGATCATGGAATGCACATCCGGTCTCGCTATTTGATTGGTAGTGATGGTGCCCATAGTTGGGTCCGAAAACGCCTGGGTCTTGAAATGCAAGGCGAAGCTACTCAGGATCACTGGGGTGTCTTGGACTGCGTTCCAATTACTGATTTCCGTAAGAAAACATTACTATCTACCCCGTTGCGCAAAGCTAATATTGCAGCAAGCGGATATACGAAAGCGCTGCATCATCCACTCATCGGCTGGAAACGCCATGATCATCCCTCGCGAGCGACGCCTTGTTCGTTTCTATGTTGAGCTGAGCAGAAGGCCAGACGAGGACGAGAAGTATGGAGCGGAAGACATACTTGGCAAAATCGTTGAGATTTTGAAGCCATATCATTTCTCAACGCAAATTGTGGAATGGGAAAGTACCTACTCAGTAAGTTGGATGAGATAGAATCAGAATAAGTCGCCCTTTCAGATACGACATGACTAACCTCCAGGCAGGTCGGACGGAGACTTTGCATGGGCTTGTCCACCCGTGATATTGTCTTTCTAGTAGGCGATGCTATTCATACTCACTCCCCAAAAGCTGGGCAAGGGATGAATACAAGCATGCAAGACGCATTTAATCTCGGATGGAAGCTGGCTTACGTGGTGCGAGGGGTGGCTTCTTCGAAGATTCTTCACACCTACCACCAAGAGCGGGCACCAATTGCTGAGCGATTACTCAAATTTGATGAAGAGATATACAATGCTGTTTCGGACAAGTGCCACGGGAATGATGCAAGCGGACTTCTGGGCACATTGGCAAAGGAGAATACATCCGCTTCTGGGCTGAGTGTCGAGTATGGACGCAACCTCCTCGTTAGCGACGCACCACGCCTAAACTCGGCCTTTCTAAAGCTTGGATCAAGACTGCCAGATTTAGATGTCCTTAATCACAGTGATGGACATACCTGGCGTGTGCATTCACTCCTGAACATCTCAGGTCAGTGGAGTTTGTTGATTTTTGGAGCTGACCTGACCGATCAAGGTCAAATGCAGCATCTCCAGACATTGGCGACGAAGCTATCTGCGCAGGATTCCACCTTACAGCGAATTAGTCGACGCGGCAAGCAGTTGGGCTTCGGTGGCATTAGGCCTTATTTGATGTACTCCAAATTACAGGACGGGGTACATTTACACAAAACTTCGAGTCTTTTTTTCCCAAACGAAGGCGCGCTTGGCTTTGCGTATGACAGGATATTCGCTGATCCTGCTGATGCTACGGTATTAAAGCAGGGGGGAGTGAATCTTCACCAAATGTTGGGTATATCTCGAACAGGCGGTATGATCCTCATCCGACCGGATCATCACATAGCCTTTGGCGGTACACTGGACGAGGATGTAGCTCTTGACGACTTCCTCTTAAAGTTTTGTCTCCTTGAGTGAGCTATTGATATTTGAGTAGAGCTACTACAGTTGATATTTCTTTTTAAATCAGTCAATGGTCGCGTTGGTAATATCCATCAAGGAGTAACGAAACACATGGGCCAGATGGTGGAAACGATGTGTAGTAGGAAAGAAGTTTTCGAATAGGGACTTGGGATAGAGCCTTTGAGCCGACTCTCCTGTAGAAAGCTTGAGTCACTTATTCTGCCTCTCAATCGCTTTGAGCACTGCCATATGTCCGGTGAGATTTTGAAGTGTTATTAGAAAGAATTATTTATATATAGCTACGGAAACTGACCAACCTAATATTCCATTGTATCGCGAAAACATTTGAAGATTGACTTGTCCTGGACTGCTACGAATATGCGGCTCACGTATTGCCCAATACTGAAAGCTCTTTGTTGCCCTTGATCAACAGAGAGCAGTGGAGGATGATCGTCTACGCCTTTATGGAACGGTATGTCCAGGTCGGAGCGTACAAACTCATACAATCTTCGTGTGGTCATTCCGAGATATGATGGAGTTGGTTGTCTCTCAAAATATCCGTCGCGAACCTTAACATACGTCCGCAATAAATCAGACGATAAACGGCACTGCCATTCGAGAAGATTGGAGTTCAGAATGGGATGGCCTTTTGCCGTCAAAAGGGAAGGCTCGTTGAGCAGAAAAACCAGACTGTCTGCAGTGACCTGTTTCATGCGCGGTTCAGAGTCAAGCCTGTTGTTCCGCTTCCAGGAAGAGCAGATACAACCCCACCACGTGTCAAACGTTGCTGCAGTACCTGAACCCTCCTGCTCTAAATCGCTAAAACTCAAAGCGAGGAAACTGGATCGTGCTACTATGCGAGCCTCCTCAAGGAAAATTTGATCTCTAGTTCGCAAATCAACCGCTTGGCACAAGAGGTATATATCCGCTGCAGCCATCATAGAGAGCAGTTCCACCGAGTTTCCCGTCATTCTTGCCGAAACAAGAGCTAGAGAGTTGATAGATTGGTTGTTGGATTCTGCCGTCTGCACATGGCTAACAACCGAGTTGGTAAGGAAGGCCATCTCTGAGTAATAAGAGGTCATATTAACATCAATGCCTTTACAAGTGAACGAGAGCGCGGGCTCGTCCGCACAAAGGTTTGGCGGAAGTCCTTGGTTCAAATCCGGGTTCACTAGCTCATTAGAGTGAGCTAGTAGCATTTTGCCCAACATACAAATTGCTGTTCTCGACTTCTCCATGGCTGAGGTAGCAGCAGCTGCTTGGAAGTTTCCCCCGTGATGGATCCGTGCGTTCATCGAGTCGATCAAAGGGTTGTCCGTTGTGGAATTCAGCTCAACTTTGAGCTGCGATTCCGCCGTGCGTATGTCCTCTATTAAGGGGCCAATCCATTGGGAAGCCGTGCGGATGGAATACCGGTCTTGTGCGAGTCCCGTCTGCGGAATGCTTTCGTTACCAGTCAATTTTGATCCGGTCAGAAAATCGCGAATATTGTCCGCCACCTCAATCTGCCCCTGATGAGGGCGGACTGCGCCGATGAAAGGGTGGAAGTTTTCAACTTTCCCACACAACGCCTCGACTGCCATTGCAGTCAACAGTTCCGATAGAATTACTAGGTCTTGGCAATCTTGAAGCACGAGGGCCGCGAATGCAGTGCTAACCGCTGTGCCGTTCATGATGGACAAGCCCTCCTTGGCCTCAAATGAAATTGGATCCTTGCCCAACCCTTGCAAGACTTCTGAAGCTGTTACAATGTCCTGTGTGCCATCTGAGCGTAGCAGCCGCACTGAGACTCCCTTGTTTCCCTCTAGCATTCCACCAAAATATGATAAAGGCGAGAGATCGCCAGACGCCGATATGCTGCCGCGGCATGGAATGAGAGGAGTGACTCCACGCGAGATCAGGTCGGCCAAGCTCTCCACGACATGGTACCTAATGGCAGAGTGCCCACGCACCAGAGAATTGCATCGAACGGCAGCCGATGCGATGACAACGTCGTCAGGAAGGGCCATAGGGCTGGCGCTAGTAGTCGTCGCTCCAAAAGCAGTTTCAGGTAGGATGCCACACTGGTGATGCTGGAAGAAACTACTTTGTAGCTTTCGGTAGTCCGTTGGCCTTGCGTCGGCATTTGCCCCGGGCGCAGTATTCATGCCTTGAAGCCCACTCTTCAGTCAACTATGTCTGAACTGCTTGATAGTCGAATACTCACCATAGATGATATTCTTGTCAGCGATATGTTGCTGCACGACTCCTATGCTATCATGCATGCGCTGAGCCATTTTGGTCGCTTTTGAAAGCTCGAATCCTTTCCGATGCCTGCGCGAAATGAGTATCATGAAGAATTTTGACAAAGATGGGAGCGTACCGAGATATGGCAACGAGCTGGGCGATTGATAATGACTCTCCATCAAGCTGAACTTTGTGTTCTGCCTGGACAAGTCGGTCGATATCCGACCATACTGCCAACTGCTGGCTTAAGAAATTGCACATAGCTACGAATGGAAGTAACTATGCGTGGTTTCCAATGCTAATATATGAATGGTGAGAGGGAAAGCAAGCAGTATATAAATATTCCCTTGTGCGTGTTTAGAAATTATATTCCCAGTGGTCAGCTACTAAAATGTATATCTCTCCTACGTCTTAGGTATTGTAAGTTTCAAGACCAGCTAACTAAGGTAGCTAAAATATGTACATGATAGGTTATTGCACGCGTGACCTCCCTTGATGATGCCGCTTTGGGGCTAGAGCATTCCTCCCTCAGCTCCCTCGGAGCAAATGCAATAATTTGCCTGCCGAGAGTGATCTAATAGTTAGTACTCTTTGTTCTGGATCAAAAACTCCTGGAGAATCTTAAAGAGTAGAGATATAAGAATTTTATAAAAAAGCTATAAACTATTTATAAAATATATAATTCCATTAGAGATTATTAAATAATATAGAAAGAGATTCTAAAAGCTTATAATTATTATTATTTTTTTTTTTTTTTTTTTAGCTATAAGTAAGATTATCCTAAGATCAGATATAATATATAATTAGGTTTATTATATAGGGTTTTTTTTATATATAAGATTAGTAGTCTATATCTAGACCTTCTATAGGATAAAGATTAAAATAAATATACTTTTATTCTGAATATAGGTATTAATATCTTAAAAACTCTAATAATAGAAGCTATTTATATAGCTAGATATATAAACCCAGCTATAGCTATAACCCCTAAGGGGGGAAACTTATTATCTATTAATAATAACTATCCTTCTATACTTATCTTAATTAATTAATTATATCTTATCTTAATTATAATTATCTTATTACTAATAACTACTATAAGTAATAACTATAATAATAAAATAAATATAACTAATATATTAATTCCTATTAGAGAAAGCTAAATTAATATAAATAATCTAGCCCTTTAAAGGATAATAATAATTATTAGTTAGTAGCTAAGAGAGCTATATCTTAAATATATTAAGTTTTTAAGTCTCTAATTAATCAGAGGGCTTCTTATAGTAATATATATTGAGATTTACCCTATAGACTATAGGGTAGATCAGGTTACCCTATATCAGTTGATCAAATGATCTCAGATTAGTATAGGGTAAGGAGGAATGAAATAACTAACTTAGGGCTTTCCAAAGCTGGAAGCCCGCTGAAGCTACCGGCCTAACCCGCTGTGGCTGCCCGTTGGGGCAATTGCGTTAGCGGTTATAACCGCTGTAACGGCCGCTGTGGCGACCGTATTAGCGATCTCGTATTGCGCTGTAGCAGCTGTATTAGCGGTCCTCGTGTCCGCTGTAGCAGCTGTATTAGCGGTCCTCGTGTCCGCTGTAGCGCTTGTATTAGCGGACCTCGTGTCCACTGTACGAGAACCTTAGCACTTAGTTAGTGAACCTCGTAACTACTGTAGCAGCTGCATTAGCGGACTTCGTATCCGCTGTAGCACTTGCATTAGCGGACCTCGTATCTGCTGTACGAGAACCTTACAGCGGTTATGAGCCCGTATTACAGAAGGCAACATATTATCTTCAGGGCTCTTAGAGCCCTGAAACACCTATAAGTACAGGGCTTCCTCCCTGCTAGATAGAGGTTCTTTAAGCTACCAATTCACTCTTTTATCTACCCTACAGTCTATCTTCTTAGCTACCCTGTAGCTGATAAAGCCTCTCTTTCTTACTAAGTAGACTGCTTCTTCCACTACGCCTTTCGAAACGATCCCTTCAGTATTCCTTAGCCTACAGGCTGCATCTACCCTAGACCCAGCTTACCCTACAGCTGGTCTACCCTATACTGGAGGCCCTGACCTTTCAAAAATATAGCTGCTTATAGTATAATAGGTCTAGTAGCTATATCTACTTAGGCTATCTCTATACTATAATAGCTAGCTATTAGATACTAATAATATACTTATTAGGAATAAGGATTAGCTGGATTAAGAGCTATAGCTATATCTTACTAATAACTATCCTATTATATATATATATTCTAATCTAATATATTATCTTTAGTTTTAGTATATTATATACTATATTAAGATAATCTATAGAAAGATAGCTCTTACTATTTAATTAATTTTTTATCTATCTTATTCTATTAATTTTAATTAGAGTTTAGATTTAGAGTTAGTTAGACTTAGTATTAAATAAGATTTTATTACTAGGTAGAAAAAATAGTTATTTAGAAGTTAATATTAATTTATCTCTATAAGTATAGTATATATTTACTATAGTAAAGTTCCTAAGATCTATATAGAGATATATTTTAATCTTATATCTATTTATCTATATATAGTTCTTTTTAATAATACCAGGGCTTATAATTATATTAATAAAATAGAAATTAAACTTTCTAGAAAGTATTTATATATAAACTACTATAAAATATCTCTTTAGGATCAGAAAGCTTATTTAACTCTTCTAATTAGGGAAAAGAGATATATGTATAGCAAATAGCTCTTATTTCTAATTAATCAGTTTGAATTTCATAATACCTCGGCTTAATAACTTTCATGTTCTAGCCAAATACATTTCGTAATCTCAGCCTCCAGATGCCGCTAACTCCATGGAGTTCATCGGGGAAAGCCTTGCATCCCCACAGTGGCTGACGTCTTTCCGCGGGATAACCAAAGGCTGATTTTGTCGTGTGAGCATAAAAACAATAAAAACACGCAGAGACAGACAACACTGACCGTAACCTTTATCTCCCCCCGAGACCATCTGAGATTTCTACTACCAAGCACTTATCTTCAATATCCGGAACGTATTGCATCATGGCCCCCACAGTGTACAATGATGTCGAGGTCATTCAATTCCCGACCTCGACCGTGACACCTGAGTTTCATTACAAACCCCCAGCTAACCCAGGCGGACAAACGCTCCTCAGAGCCGGGACCGTTCAGAAAGAAGGTCATCGGCCACTGTTATGTGACATTCTCCTCGAGGAGGAAGTTGCCATAAAGACCCGGGATGGCATCATTCTCTACGCAGACGTCTTTCGCCCTCCTCATGACCGTAAGGTGCCTGCAATCATCAGCGGAGGACCCTTTGGTAACAGGGGAGGCCCTTACGGCAACAACTTTGACAAGGCTCCCTTTCGCTTTGGTTGTCCTCATATCGCTACCTCGGGACTGGAGAAATTTGAAGGCCTTGACCCAGGGTATTGGTGTTACCACGGATATGCCATTATTCATACTGGTGAGCTTTGCCTCTTCTAAACGTTGATATCATGACTAAATGGCTTTGAATTTTCTCAGATTGTCGTGGAACTTGGAACTCGGAAGGGGATGCTATATTCCCGTCCAAGCAAGAAGGAAAGGACAACTACGATATAATCGAGTTTATCGCTGAGCAGCCGTGGTGTAACGGACGAGTCTCGATGGCAGGAAACAGCTACCTGGCGTTTACGCAATACTACGCTGGCGCAGAGAACCCTCCTCATCTCGCTTGTCTCGCACCATGGGAGGGCTTCTCTTCCTTGTACGAGGATGTCATTCGCCCCGGAGGTATGTATCCCAACGCTGAGGTCATATGCCAACTTTCTAATGCCAGTAACAGGCTGCCCGAATCCAGGGTTCTCGACCGGCATCATGCGTGGAGCCTTTGCCAGCTTCAAGGGCAGCAAGGCGCCTGACATCGGCGCCATGTGCTACAAGTATCCTACATGGAACGACTACTGGGAGGACCATCGCGTCGCATTCGAAAAGATCAAGGTTCCGATATATCTCGTGGCGAGCTGGACCAATTTCTTGCATGTTACTGGGACCCTTCGTGTGTGGCAAGGTTGTAGTAGCCGCGAAAAATGGCTGCGAATCCACAACACGCATGAATGGCCAGGTAAGTCTTCATTTTCGCTGCTGATCTGGATGCTAATATTGCTGCTTCATAGACCTGTATGATGAGCAAAACACGGTCGACCTGCGTCGGTTCTTCGACCACTACCTCAAAGGGGTCAACAACGACTGGCTCTATACCCCTCGAGTGAGGATGTGCGTGTTGAATGCTGGCGGGAAAGATATCATAAACCGACCAGAGACTTCATTCCCCTTGGAACGCCAGAAGCCGGTCAAGCTATATCTCAACCCTGACGAGAATACTCTGTCGCGGACACCAGTGTCAATGGAAACGATATTCTCATACGATGCCGTGAAGGGTGATATAACGTTTAAGCTGCCAGTGACCACTGGGCCCCAGGAATTCTCAGGATACATTAAGCTACGTCTTTGGGCTGAAGCCGAAGGGTCAGACGACATGGATATTTACGCCACGTTACAAAAGTTCAACACCGAGACTGGGCGGCCCCTACAGCCAGTGGTGGTCGACGTCGGCAGACTTCAGCCCAATGCAGACGATGTCCGACAGCAGCTCATCGACAAACCCGATGGAGACGAGTCGTTTGGCGCCGAGTTCTTCCACGCCGGGCCCATTGGCTGTCTGCGAGCCAGTCACCGGGAGCTAGACGAGGCAAGGTCCTCAGAGTTCCATCCTGTTCACACCCACCGGGAGGAGCAGTTGCTGCAGCCAGGTCAGATTGTCCAACTGGACATGGCGATCCCTCCGTACGGTTTCATCGTCAACGAGGGAGAGGAAGTGCGGTTGACCATCTCGGGTTACCATCCTGATCCGCACTGCCGACCTACCGACCCGAAGCCGCAACTGCGGAATAGCGGCAGGCATATTTTCCATACAGGTGGTAAATACGACGCTCATCTTGTTCTGATGCATATTCCAGGGGCTTGATGGGGAAGAGTAGATGAGTAGAAGGAACGGTTTTGTCTTGTAGTTAGCCTACATAAGAAGAGGTAGTAGCTAGCTGAGGGGATTTCCTGACAACAAAGACATTACTATTGTTACTCTGGAATGCTGGTAAAACTCATTTGCTTTGATGAAGGCTTACCACCATGGACGAACTCGCGTGCGTATTCTCCTTCAGAGCTGAAGCCGTCGTTTACTCATGGAGCTCCTAGCAGCGGAAGACTAGATCAAGGGAAGAAGGCGATAGATTGTGTCATTTTAATCCATTGTAGGCCGTGTCAACTCAGAGAATCAACAAGGAATTCCATTGTGCATGTCCTCCGCTCGGCCTATGCGCCAAATACCTGTCTCACGTTGACTTAGCATCTGAGTTGCATGTGAACACGCAAGATGCATGTGCTCAAGCTCCATTTCAGGCATGCCCTCCATGTCATTATGCTTTAACAGTGTTCGGTCTGATAGAATATTGGTAGTATTGCCACCGGCAAGCTTCCAAGGCTTAAGTCCTATTCTGACAGGTGGTACTACTGCTCCTCGACTGCCTGCTACTAACTACTTTCTGCACAAAGACTACCTCAACTCCTGCATGGACGTATTATAGGGCCTATCGTTGGCTATTGGCTATTCCTTATGAATAGCGACGGCCGTGGATGAACCCTTGGCCTCAGGTCCAACTCCCGTCGATTGGCCACACCTGGCAGAACCTTCCTCATCATGAACGGACACACCAGTCAACCTGCGCTTCGATCGCCCAATGACAAGGAATGGCCCTTCAAAAATGTCGGCAATCTCTTCCAGTGAATGACCCTTGGTCTCGGCAAAGAACAAGACCACGAAGGTGAGCATAATCGCGAGAAGAGCGATGTAGACGATGTAGTACCTCCACCCCATTTCACCAAGAGCGATAGGGTTGACAAAGGTATTCGTCATGCCACAGACACCGTTAACGAGCATGACAACGGCCATGCCCTTCTGGCGGGCGTGGAATGGAAAGATCTCGGTTGGGTATGCTGTGAATAATGAGCACGATGCAAAAGGGTAAATAGACTGCCACACTCACCAAATGTAAGCGGTGTGACCGCAATGTCATAGTGGAAAAAGTATAGGAAAAGAGTGACGATGACGCCAATTCCAACACCGGAATGAGAAGTCTTGACGAATTCCGCCGAAAGAACCGTCAAGATGATGTACGTGATGAGCATGCCAGCACACGAAGCAATCCACAGAGGACGACGGCCAACGCGATCAACTAACAAGGCAGCGCCGGTGGCGGCAAAGAAGTTGAAGATTTGCAGTACTCCGTTGATTAGTGTCTTGGTAAATGAGTCGGTGATACCCACGGATTCGAGGACCAGGCTGAGGTAATAGGTGATGATGCCGTTGCCAGACCAGTTGGAGATGAAGGCTGAGAACACACAAATGGCCATTCGCTTTCGATCAGCCTTTGTTCTGACCAGCTGAATAGTAATTGTCAGTCACATTGCAATGGGCTTGATCGGAAACGGAAACTTACAGAGAGCCAACCCATGCCAGCAACGGCTCTCTCGGTCTCGATATGGGACGTGATCTCAGACATCTCATAGTCAACCAAGGGGTGCGAGTCATCGCCAGCTGCGTGGTACTTTGCAAACGTTGCTCTGGCTTCGGAAAGTCTTCCTTTGGCGATGAGCCATCGCGGAGACTCGGGGACAAAGTACAGCCCGACGATTTGGACGATTGGGAAGAAGACTTGAAGAATAGAAGGAATTCGCCAGCTCCACTCAGATCCCTTCATGCTAGACGTGCCAAACGTGATCCAGCTTGATGCGATTGCTCCGAGGTAGAAGAAGCACTGGAATAGGCTGGTCATCTTGCCTCGGTGAGCCGGGTAGGCAAGCTCCGAGATGAGCACCGGCGAGGGAGCCGCGGTGAATTCGATACCAATCCCAACAAAAAAGCGGGCCACGATGAAGGCAGCGATGTTGCGCGAGCAACCTTGTAGGATTCCAGCCATGATCAAGACAACGAGGCCCAACATGATGGTCTTCTTCCGTCCGATCTTGTCAGAGGTCCATCCAGCAGGCAATGAGCCGATGATCTGAAGGATCCAGCATTAGTAGAGGCTACCAATTCCCGTTGAACAATCCCATCAACATACCGTCCCAAGAGGCATCACAGCGTTCATGAAGCCAAGCAAGGCGCCCCTCGGAGTGCCAAAGTAGTTATTCCAAGTCTCCAAAGACATGAGCGCGTTCATCATGGACGCGTCAAACCCGAGAGATGTCGGCGTCAGAATCACAAAGAGCAGCAGAAAATTGAGCTGCAGCAGATTGCGCTGGCGAAACCAAGGCTTGTCATGCCTGGGGAGCATGGATGCGAGCTCAGCTCCGACGGCCTTGGCGGCGGTGGAGGAAGTGGAGGAAGTGGGCTCATCGACCTGACGGTCAAGAGAGGCCTTGGAATACTCCATCAAGAAAGAGTAGTTGATGCGTTGGGATTGAGAAGGTCGGAGATCTGACGGTGTTGGTGATGGTTGGTTTCTAGGTTGACGGGGTCGATTATGTAGTAAGTTGAGCTCTTCGCTGTGGGGTGACAAGGATCCGAACTCGCCGCGGATTTATTGAGTTTACGGAGAGGAGAAATATGCCAAGCTGAGCGCGAGATTAGCGGTATGAATGACGATAGGTGATTTTTGCCTCTACAACAGACTTGGCACAGACACCAACAGGGAAGCGTAGGAATCTTGGGCTTAGAAGCGTGGGGTAAAGATCCGGGGTAAAGATCTGGGGCATGGGGCCCAGCCAACGTTATCCAGTAATGTAACGTCCATTTGACTAGCCTGACTAGCCTGACTCGTGCACCTCGGCGGGTGGAGGCTCTAGATCTAGATGCTTGGTTAATCCGTGGAATATCGAACCCAGTTCCGCGGAGTTGGAGCCGGCTCTAGACTACCATGTAGAGTCTGGACAACATGGGTATAAGGCCTGCAATAGCTCTTGAGACAGCTGGTGTTCACTAGCATGCTATGCTACATTGTACCCCTTATTTCTCCATCTGTCTGTCCACCATGGTCGCGCCCTGCCAAATCGCCTGCAAGCAGATTGATCCCCCCACGATCGGGCGGAACGGATACCAGGGTTTCCTCAACAAGTCCGAGGTTCTTCGCAAAGGCTCTGCTCCCTTCAACCAGCGCAAGCTGTCATGTGACATCCTGGTCGAGCACGACGTGGCTGTCAAACTTCGCGATGGATGCATCATCTATGTCGACGTCTACCGTCCGCCTGAGGGACAACAAGTCCCGGCCATCATCGCGTGGAGTCCATTTGGCAAGAAACTCAACGGCATCAAGTTTCTGGAAATGATGACGTCGTACAATATGGGTGTACCGGAGGGGACTCTGAGCGGGCTTGAGAAATTTGAAGGCCCGGATCCCGCTGTCTTTGTTGAGAAGGGGTTTGCCATTGTCAATGCTGATACACGTGGTGTTGGAGACTCTGACGGCATGTGTGTCATAATGGGAACCCAAGAGGGCGAGGATGGCCATGACTGTGTTGAAGCCATCGCAGCTATGCCGTGGTGCAATGGCAATATTGGTCTCGCTGGCAACTCACACCTGGGCATCGCACAATGGTTCATCGCTCAGCAGCGTCCACCCCATCTCAAGGCTATAGCTCCGTGGGAGGCCTGCGGAGATCTGTTCCGGGAGCAGTTTGTGCGTGGTGGAATCTGGGCCGGCAACTTCTTCGATCACATCAGCCAGGTCATGATCCAGGGGCACAACGGAATGGAGAGCTTCAAGGAGATGTATCGCCGAAGTGGTGGAGTAGGCAGCGCCTACTGGTACGACAAGAGGCCTGACATGACCAAGATCAATATCCCGGCGTATATAACTGCATCGTTCTGCAGCCCGCTACATACCATGGGCTCTATCAGGGGATACTTTGATATCGACAATCCCAACAAGTGGCTTCGATTTTGCCCATACCAAGAGTGGTACGATCTCTGGGCAGTGCCAGAGTCTACCGAAGAACTCATTGCCTTCTTTGACCGATACCTCAAGGGTGAGGAGAACAGCTGGGAAGACACGCCGCGAGTACGCATGTCGACGCTTCAGTTTGGCAGCAAGGACGCCATACTGAATGAGCCCATTGAGAGCTATCCACCACCACAGACGAAAGATGTGCCCTACTACCTGCTCGCCAACGGCGCTCTGAGCCCCGATGGACCCTCTACGGCTGTCTTCACTGATTCATACAACTCAGAGGACAGTACTTGCTCTGCCAAGTGGACCTTCAAGTTTGACAAGCCGACACGGCTATGTGGAATACCCAAAGCCGTGTTATACATGTCGTGCGACAATCTTGACGACTTTGATGTCTACGTACTACTTCGCAAGCTCGACGAGGACAGCAAGCCCTTGCTAGCGCTCAACTGCCCATGGAGCAAGATCCCGCCCAACTCCATCGAAGAGATCCCCAAGGACAATATGACGGATATTCTGCTGTACATGGGCCCACTAGGCATGCTCCGGGCATCTCACCGGGAGATCGACTGGGACAAGTCGATGCACCCCAACTATCCCTTCCACCCGCACTCCGAGATCGAAAAGGTGCCCAAGGGGCAGGTTGTGAAGCTGGAGATAGGCATGTTTGCTACAAGTATAGACTTTGAGGCGGGAGAGTCTGTGAGGGTTGAAGTGACGGGCCAGACGCCGGCTATTCAGTCCTTTAAGGAGTTGGAGGGACAGATGGGGAATGTTGACAACAGGGGAATCCACAAGGTCCATATAGGTCCGGGTTATCCTAGCTATATTAGTTTGCCTATCTTTGAAAAGTGAAAGACGCGATAGAAGAATAGAAGTTGAATTGCGTTTGTGTTCTATGCAATAGCTGTTCTGTAGTCACCACATCTCCTATCTATGGTGATATCGTGGATGTTCACACTTAGGACAGCTCTGCTGCAACGTCTTGGGACTCGACTCTCTGATTTGGCTTTGTCACACAGGGCTTACAGTGTTTTTCGACCATCTTTTCCTCAATGACCGAAGCAGAGTCAGCGACGAATGGCAACAGTTTTCGACAAAATGAGGCACCATGGAAACCCAATGCCTCATAGCATCGCAACGGAGCGTACATGACGGGATCAAGTGAAGCATTGCGTTGGCTCTGTTTATTTCACCAGAACCGTAATACATACCAAATACACTTACGGTGTTATGGGGCATTGGGCTTTCTACGATGCCTCTTTGTGTTAAAAATCGCCTTCTTGACATTGTGGCTGACCATCTCCTTCTGATAGAGGAAGTCATTAAAAAATACAAAAACAATACTAAATACATACTCATCTATAAAAGAAAACAGACAAGCGAGGGTGCCCATACACAACATCCAAACTACTGTTCAGTATGGCTTCACTCCTGCCAGCTTCAGTAGCTTGTCTGTCAGTTCCGGCTGCTCAAGCGGCTCATCACGTTCACCAGGGCAAGGCTTGCCGTTCCTGATAGCCTTTCCTTGCCCAAAAATGTTGCAGTGGGGCCAGTGAGTGGTGCCCTCGTATCGATTGAACAGCTCAGCCTTGAGGACGAGGTCGGCGGGGCTGGCCAAGCTGGCCGGTGTGTAGGTAGCATAGATGATGGTGCGGATGGTGTCGCTCTCAGGCAACTTGGCGTAGTGGACTGTACGCGAGTCCCAGATAATGACGTCGCCAGGCTCGGCGTTGACCTTGATGAGCTTGCAGCCGTGGTCCTCAAACCACTTGACATCATCGAGAGTGAAGCCGTACCAGTCCAGTTGGCCTGGGGCATCAGCGTCCTTGGCCTTGGGTGGGTGCTCTTTGAAGAACTGCTCAAACAGCTCAGAGCTTCCCTGGAGAAGTTGCAAGCCTCCATCAAGGGGTCCGGCCTCGGAGAGGTTGATGATGCCTTGAGCGCAGGAGAGACCCTTGCGTGTAGGGCTCTGGTCTACATGCGGCCAAGGAGACCACTTGACGTCAGTCCGACCAGGTAGTGTGATGTTGACTGCATCAAAGGAGACGAGCAGCTCATCAGTGCCCCAGAGTTCAGCAAATGGTTTGATCACACCATCCTCGCTGTCATTCCAAGTCAGTATTAAACGTCATGTTGAAGTGGTAGAAGGCAAGGCTAGACTTACCATCTGGCTTCCCACACAAACTTCTCATGGGATGCGCAGTAGTTGAGAATCATGCCACCCTTCATCATGACAGGCAGATGTTCTTGCACCCAAGTGCTCCTATCATTTGTATCGAAGCCAAATGGGAATTTGCTGAACCATTCCAGCGCTCGTCGCTGATAGTCGAGGGCGCGCTCACGAGGAATGGCATTCTTGATGACGACGTATCCATCCTGGAAGAACTGGTCTCGCCAGTCGCCAAACTTGGTCTTGACCTGCTTCTCGAGCAAGTCGGTGACGCCGCCGACCTGGGTGTTCTCGTAGTTGTGCTTGAGGCCGTTGCTGTTCTCGAGATAGTCGTCAGTGCCGCGCTGTCCCTTCAAGGGGACCGTGTTTGGTGCGGCGTTGACGATTGTAGTCGTGGTAGTGAGCATTTTGTTCTTAGTCAACTGGCTGGGAGAGTGGAATTGATACAACAGGTGATGATTGCTGAATGTTTGTTTGATCTTATCTTTGACTCTGTCTGACTTATCTGATCGAGCAAGCCAGGTTAAATACTCGTATTTACGTCTACTTCTATCCAGTCCTCAGCTGTTAGTTTGCAGATCGGATCTACAGTGTACTCTGAAGCACCCATCCTCGGCAATGTGTGGGCAAGGTTGGTACTAGCGTCCCTCTTACTCCGTGTATTCCGCGGTATTGCGGCGTTTGCCTTGTCGTTTGGTGTGCGCCACCCCATTTTTGTCAGACAGCGCGTTCTCACTAGGTCACTGATGATGAAAGATGATATTGGGATGATCTTGAGTGTATTGATGGGGTTCCTTGTATTCGTCCTCCTTATTCTTCGTTCTCCCTCGTTGTCTTTGTATCCAAGGGGGCAAGGCCAAGATACTAGACCTGCTGATCCTACAACAGATCTATAACGCTATTCTAATAATTAAGATATTATAGAGTAGTATCTTCTCTTAAGATAGCTGTCTAAATAAGATTATTATATATACTACTTCTCTAATAATTTATATTTAGAAGATAGCTTATGTAGATAAAAAGTAATAAAATAATTATATAATTTATATATATATATATATTAAAAGAATTTTATTTATAATTATTTATATTATTATTTAATTTAATATAATTAATATAATTATTTAAATTTTAATATATTTTAAAATTAATTTTAGAAAATCTAATATTATTTATCTTAACTATATATACTATTTAATTTACTTATCTATACAACTTGCTTATTATATATATTATAGATTTACTTTTTCTACTTTATAGTACTTTTAGCACAGGATAAAACTTTCTAGCCCTTCCTCCGTAGATATTATATAATCAAGTTGACAACTGGGCGCCTGGGTAGTCTCTATGACCCACTGCTCTTGATCCGAGAAAATTCCATTCCCGCACGTTACTTTGCTTGATCAATCCCGGTTCCCCTGCCTGTCGATTGCCCGTCCTCATGCCATACTCTGCTTCCACCCCATGGAGTCTCCAGCAGCAGCAGCCCAGTCTCCCAATACAGCGCCGGATGGAGGACCGTCGATATCAAATGCACTCCCGCGTCCGCGGAAGCAACGCCGCTTGAGAGCTGTGGGTTATCAACGCGTCTTTGGGTGTACGTTTGTTGACTGGGAAATAGTGTGATTCTTGCCGTCAACGAAAAGCAAGTGCATTCAAAGAGATATCTGCTTCAATGATTCCCATCTAACTGTTCCAGATACGCTGTGATAACACGCCAGGTTCGTGCCGTAACTGCGAAGCATATGGAGAAGAGTGTGTCATCTCTCGCAACGGCGCCATCTTCCACCGAGCCCGGCACGGCAATGCGAACCCACGCGCCCAGCAGAGAGCAGCCCAGAAGCAGGGCTCCGATGGAGCATGTGTAGCCGCTGCATCTGTCGGCTCCAGCCCGGGCTTGCCTAGGACGAGTACGCCCGCGGACCTGACGGCGTCCCAGGCCGGTCCATCCTCGCCCGTGGCCGAAAACGCCGTGGAGTCCGAGCCGGTGCAGGGAGTCGTCACGACCGAGGTGGGACAGTTCCCCAAGAATGCCAAGTTTGCGGGTCTCAGCTCGCCCCAGGTCTTGGCCAGGGTCGCCCAGGAGGTGTTTAGCCCTTTCAGCCAGATGAATGTCATGGACTTTTTCTGCCCGATGATGACGTTTGCCGAAGAGTTTCCCCTGCCTTCGCCGAGCTTCCGTCCTCTTGTGGCTCGGGAAGTAGCCGATGGGTGTGTTCAACGTACGTACAAGTCTACGTCTGCTTGGCCCTGCACTCCCTTGATACTATTGGCAAAAGTGCTCACAGGCTACTTTTTACTAGGTTATTTTAATACATACCATCACCTGTTTCCTGTTCTGGATGAGCAAGCTCTCCGACAAACTCATGCCGCCTTGTATGGCCCTGGCGAGGTCCGTATCAACGTGGCTCAGGTTGCTTGTGTCTTTCTTGTCATTGCTCTTGGAGCGAGCTCAACAGAAGTATTCAACTCTCACCTTGAGACAGTGTTTGGTTTGTATAATCATTTAATTTCCAAGCCGTACCTTCCCAGTGTGCAAGCCTTGATATTAATGGTAACTCACCCATGCTATATTGACAAACCACTCATTGACTCGTCAACCCTTGACTGCAGACTCTATGTTTTCTTCATGCTGCAAAGGATGGACAAGCTGTTCTCTGCATCGCATTTGCCGCTCAGATGGCCCAGTCTGTCGGACTACATCGCAGTCTCTTCATATACCGACACCCCTGCGAGATTGCCTTTGTTCTAAGAGATCACGATCTGAGGAACCGGATTTGGTGGACTTGTTATTGTCTGGACAAGTACGCTACTTGAATATTTCGTATCTGGTTTAGCGGCTGATGAGAGAATTGCAGGAAACTATCCTTCGAAGGTGGCCAAATCTCTGCCATCCACGATAATGAGTGTGATGCGGAACTACCTCAGATAGACTCCCCATCGCCTGTCGCTGGTCCCCATGGAACCCCTTTCAATTTCCTATCATCATTCATCAGGTTAGCAAAGACACTGTCAAACATCTCGTGCAAGCTCTTTCGAAGAGATGTGCGCAGCGTCGACAACAGCGAACTAGTCAAGAGGATCTTGGCGGCAGACAGAGATCTACTCTCATGGCGGGACTCACTTCCTGAGAACCTACAGCCTGACAGAGAGCCCTACGCTCTTGGCGATGAGGTCTGTGAGACCGGGTCGGGGATGTTGCACTGCGTATACTACAACGCCCTCGTCATCATACACCGGGCTTCACTGGTATCCACGGCTGGGAAAGTGCAGGTGATGAAGAAGCATATGGACAGAAGGATATCGGCCTCGGATGATATCTGCCTGGGTGCAGCCAGGTCGCTGGTCCGTACAGTGAATAATCTTGTCATTGAGCGTCGCAGCTTTCGAATACCCGGGTAAGTATCGCCATGCTGTTGCACTCTTACTTCGCTGCCTCCTTCTTGCTCCTCATGAACTCAAATTGTACCTTTAGGAATGCCAGCTGATCATCCATGCAGAATGATTCACCCGTACGCCATCAACGCCGTCATGGCGCTCTATATCGGAATCATGCAGGCACCGCTACGTTGGTCAGCCCCTACTGACCTTGCCCTGATGCGAAGTATGCAGCAATGCTTCGAGAAGAGCCGAGACCCAGCAGCTGGAAGCCGATTCAGAGGCCTCATGGTGTATCTGACAGAAGCCATGGAAAAGTCCGAGCAAGCCCAACGAAACGGCTCTCAGACACCGTCAACGATTAACCATGCTGGAACACAGCCTGCTCCGTCCTGGTCCATCGCTGAACACTCAATAGATACAACTTTGACTCGCTTTTCTCCCGTCAACCAATCACCAGGCGGTCATCTTCAGCCAAGTACTAGTTGTCAGCCTCGCAGCACGACGGGCAGTTGGGCCGTGACCTCCGAGCCATCACAATCCTACCCTACGCCCTCGCTTGTCCCTGATCCGTGGAATTCGGGACTGCCAGTGGATGTGGAGGGGCTGCAGCTTGGCGACTTCTTTGGTGACCATTCAACGGCGTGGAATATGCAGCTGTGGCCGCTAATGGAGGATGTAGATGGCGGGGGGCTTGGGGAAGATGAGGCTATTCTGGAGTGAATGGACGCTTGTCAATCAAGTTGGATTGAATCAGCGTCCATATGTATCCTATGCTGTATCGTCGATTGACATGAAAAGAGAGGAAAGCTCGGCAACTTCGCGATGATAAGGAGATGGTAGCCAGTACGTAACAGGCCATGCCCCTCCTGGATCCAGGCTAGGATATAAAATACTTCGAACAACCGTTAAGTTGCCAAGGCATGAAACTTAACAGCTGAATATCCAGCCCGAAGGGTAAAAATCATATAATATTATCTGCAATTCGACTGTCCTGGGAGGAACCCCCTAGAATCCCTATTTCTCTTATAGCGGGTAACTAGCTATTAAATATTAAGCTTTCTCTTTCTCTATAGCTTATACTAATATATTATTTAGTTAATATAATATAATAAATATAATAAATTAGTTAATTATTAAGTTGAATAGTATTATTAGTTGATAAAATTTTTTTTATCTCTATTATATATTTGAGTAGGTAATTTAATTAGATTAACCTAGGTTTAATATATAGTATTTACTATAGTGGCTTTAATAAAAATAACTACTTTACTCCAATATTAGTTTAGAGAAGATTTAAGAATTATAAGATCTTAGGTAATAGAGGTAAAAAGTCTCTAAGTATTAGAATAGAAGAGAAAGCGTAGAAAGAGAAATTCTATTAGGTTTTTAATATTTATAAGATAGGCCGGACTATCTCCAGCTAGGTATAAGGAGATTAGTAAAGTACAGAAGGGGCAAATCGAACCATGATTCCCCATAGCTTCTTGGTACTCATATCTTAGGCCTATTTTAGAGAGTGGTAAAGAGAGCTCATTGAACTAATGCCCTCCTGAGATGATAGAATAACCTGTAACAATCCCATGCAGCTCCGGGCATTCTGCGTTAGCAATATCGGCATTCAGCCCTGGCGCATATGCATATGAACTCAACGAAAGGAATAATGAGTACAGCATAAATCCGTACGCAGGATGTAGTCAGATTATTATCGTGATGAGGCTCCCGATAACGGATGGGCCACTGAATAGTTCAGAGCTATGCTACAATCGCGTAAGACGACGTTGATGATTTTCTATGTTCCAATGAGAAACTCGGTGGTCTCCACCTCGTCAGAGCATGCGATTCCTGCTTCGGTTCTGACCTGGTCCATGATTTCTATGATCAGAACACTTTTCTCCAATCCAATTGCGAACCCTCCTTCCGACCTTCTAATAAAGCCCGGCCGGCATCATCAGCCTCCCAAAATAAACCATGTCCTTGGCCTTCGGGGTTTGGACTAGAACCATACCCATTATACCAGCCACTCCCCTCTCCTGGGCCTGGCTGAGGCCATTCCTTATAGTCAATTGTTCCATCTTTGAGGACAAGCCTGGTCTGAGTTGGTCGGTACGCTGGTGGAAATACCTGGATCTCGCCGTACTGTCCTTGGATACGTATGTTTGGTACATTGACGCCCGCTTTCTGGGTGATGGCATCGTTTGATAAGCCTAAGGAAGTTGATGTCACGGTATAGGCAACTCCGCCCTGCTGCTCCGGCCGAGGGAACTGGAGAAGAATGGCTGCCATTGCATCAACTCCCGTGCGGCTGGACTTAGCCACAGCGCTCTTAACGATCGGGCGTTGTCTAGATGATGATGGCTTAAGGCTATAGGATATTATGGATAACCCAAGTTAGGCTATAGATACCGCCATCCAGGAGAATCCCACCCGCAAGAGCAGGATTTACCATGATATGGTCCTCACTCTCAAAGCCCGCTGCATATGGAAGGCTATGCTCGGCGAGCACCCTCTCAACTGGGCCCAAACGTCCAGACTCAATGACGCTGCGAATGTAGAGACAGGGGGAAGTATCTGGTCCAGAGCCCCTCAATCAGAAGCAGGTTCTCTTGTCGTGCCTTTTCGGCTAGCTTCCTCGCCTGCTTCGCGTTCACAGTAAAGGCTTTCTCACAGGGTATATTCTTGCCAGCTCCAAGGCAGAGCACAGCATTTTAGTAATAGTGAGAGCGGGGGGTCGCAATGTAAATTACTTCAGCATCAGGGTCTTGAACGAGATCTGCATAGGATCCATAAGCCTTGGCGTGTTTTGGTGCATCACAGTGACGCAAGAATTCTTCTGCTTTAGATTTCGAAGTTGAGGATGCGGCAGCCACAAGCTCGTGTCGTATATCAGAGACGGATCGTGTGCTAGGATCGATTGAGAGATCTCGACCACTAATCGCATTACATTAGAGACACGGCCACGCCCAACGAGGCTTTCTGGACTCACAAAGCTTTGGCAACGCCCCACCCCCCCCCGTTGCTAGGATTCCCCAGCGTATTGTCTTCGGCCCAGGCATGTTCAGCGGTCGTGACAGAACTTTAGTATGCTTCATATACCGTATATGGCGCGACTATAATCTGAGAAACCTTTATGCTCTTGTATTTATAACCGCCGAGTCTTGTGAAGGACGAACGGTTCTAAATTCATATAGAATGAAAGGCGCCAAAGACAACAGGGCGAAGGCTTGACATGAATGATGGGCCAAGGCCAACTCTGCTCGATGGCCAAATGTTAGACTGGTGTCGCTCCCTCTGGTCGCGGCGAGTCTCTAGGGCGGCGCTGTGGCTTGAGTAGCCTCTTCACGCCCTACTGTTCGCGCCTTACGCCCTACTCTACGCCCTTTAGCTGCGGCAGCTTCATGTGACTGTTACTTGGAAATCTTCTTCTATATTTTAATCCCAGCTGAATGAACAAAGCACACGGGATGAAAATATCTTCATTTGGATGATCTATCGGTCAACTGGTGTTGGCCTCCCAAATTCAAGATATCGCACGTGGCCTGCTCCTCTGTTTCGCAAACATGTGGATAACTCCACCCGGAGGACGTCAGGATCTCGGTGAATGATTCTCAGAAATTTACTTGATAGTGTCAGATGTATGGAAGGGACGACACTAGGTTACAGAGGTTGTGACGACATTATGCAAAACCTCGTGAGGACAGTGTGTACAGGGAAAAGGTATTTCTAAAGCCCCCCCCCCCCCCCATACCTAGGAAGCCGTGTGGGGAGCTTTCTATACAAATGGATGAATGCTTAAGCAACTAAGCATATCAGTCCCTAGGTCATCTTTGAAAAGTATATAGGGTGATAGACTTGCGATAACTAACATTGATCATACGCAACTAACGTACACTAATCCGTGCATAGTTTTAGAAACACGGGGTCACCGACTTTGAGGTTTTGGAAAGGACATTGGGAACAGTCATTTTATTATTTTAGAATGCATGCGCGATCAAAGATCAAGATCAAACGAGTGAGGCATGGCTAGTTCAATCATCTCTCACCATCACCTGATAGCTGAGAAATAACGCCAGACGCCTGCCGCTGATTCGAATATAACCTTTTCGTTTCCTTGCCCCAGTTGATGAATAATATATCCCTTCGATCTTATCGCAATGCTCTCAAGGTAAAACCTTAAGCGGGAGCGCCACCATTGACCAGCAGGTAGTCGACGTTTTGAGACCATGTCTCGGTCAAGAGACTGGTGCTGTCGCTCAACACGCGGGGACCCATTGAGAAGGTCAGCGGAAGCGACGGAAGGAAGGCAGCCTCGTTGTGGCCGGCGACATAGACGTCGTTGATGCTCAGAGAAAGCCTAGTGGCGTTGAACTCGAGCTGGAAAGTCTTGGGGTTACCGTCGTAAAGGTTGATGCCGTTGGCAGTGATGTCGATGGTCTTGCGCTGACCGTTCACAGCGCTCTCGAGGAAGAGCTGCGAGTTGGAAAACTTGGTGTTGTCTGTGTAGAAGCCAAAGTCGATTTGGCTGTAGAGAGACCCATCCTCATTGGGGCCGTTGTTGTAGAGAGAAGCACCCCAGAAAACACGGGCAGCTGGCTGGGGCGAGAGGGAGAGGGAGAATCTAAAGATACCCCATGTGAATTGCTGGTTATTCAGAATGATGCTGCTGTTGGCGTTGCGGGTGTTGGCAGCAAGCTCGAATTTGGCCATATCATTGACCATTCTGGGGCAATTGCCGTATTCGCAATACCATCGCGTCTGGTCGAGTGTAGTGAATTGGTCTTCGAAGAAAATCTCGGTCGCCCGCGTCTCGAGAGTTGAGGAAGAAGGGGCTGCTTGAACGGCTGTGGCCGCCAGGGCCAGTGCAGTAGTCAAGAAGCTGATGATTGCCATGTTGCTGTCGTTATCGTTAAGGTCGTGTGAATGAACGAGGGGATGAATAATCTCAAAGAGAATACGAGCGCATTTGGGGAAGGACTCGAGAGGACTCGAGCTCCTTTAGTAGGCCCAGCCCACTCTGAATGCCTGTGAATCATGGGTGCTTGCTTTATGCCAAGAGCAATGAAGAAGACAAAGCTCTCGACATTGATTGACTGCTTGTTAAACTGCTATTCTATTCTGGAATAGCGCCCGGCAAACAAGACTGCCATTGGCCGCTCAAATTCATCTCTGTTTCAGGAGCCGTCAAAGGGCCAGGCACGGGCCTTGGTGGAGGCAATGAAATGGGGTCGTGTCAACTTGTGTCTGCGAGCATGGAGCCAAAACAACCCCCTGTCCAATCAATCAATGCCTGCCAGCTGGAGAATACAAGCCGCTTGACAGCTGACCCTCCCTAGGGGCGGTTAATGAGGCAAACCGGAAAGTTTGTTGCAGCGACAAGTCTTGTTCACCTATAGATGATGGTCCTGGGCTTGGGAAGTATGATCATGGAGCATCTTGGCTAACGCATCTTCCAAGCTCAGAAACAGGCCGAAGGATTCATTTCTCGTATTTCTCCTGATGACCTCCAATTAGCGCTGGACATACGCTTGTTGCGGCAGGGTACATCATTGCCCAATTTGACTCCGGTATTTTTAACCGTCTTGTCCCGAAGGAACCTTGTGCACTTGTCTTTATGTGGAAGGCCCCCTAAATTCTTTCTTGGCCGCTTCTTTGACTTGTTGAGAATGGTTGTGTTTCAAGTCATCAATTTCCTTTTGCTCATACTATCTCCTTGGTGCATCGGAAGCTACAGCGATGTATTTCCCTACTTTTGTTAAAAGCCTCAAGCTGTGACTTCGAGCTACGCATAGGAGGGTCAGAACCTTCCCCATACAAATTACTATAGCAAGCATTCCTCCGGCTCCCGATCTATCTGTTACAGCAGCTTTTAAGGTTTCTGATGATATTGAATTATATATACGGATTGATAAAGCCGAACGCGAGCAGCCGGCTGACTGTACCTATCGCCCGATAAAGCCGGCAGCTATATAATGCGGTATACGTTTTAACCCCTTCCTTATTAACCCTATTTATAAACTACAGATCTAAGAGCTACCTTTAATACCTTTATTACTATTCTAAGTATTTATATATAAATCCCTAGTAAAATTATAGGCTAGCTATATAAATTCCTAGCTTCCAGCTAATAAGGTAGGTAATTAAGCTAGCTTTAAAAAGGGCTCCTTATAATAGCTCTTACAGCTATATATATATAGATATAAGCTAATAGTTATAAATACTAGGCTATCTCCTCAGATTATATATATCTCTTGCTTAGGACCCTAATTTATATAGGAAATTATTATAAAAAGTATATATAAGACTATTAGAATATCTATAAGCCGGGGAAGATAAAGCTAACCTACTCTATTTTATAATTTATAAGCTTTAATACCTTTTAGGAGATTTACTATACCTTCTGCTCTTATAACCTAAGCAGCTCTTATAAGAGCTCTTTTAATCGGATTTATAAATAGTTAGAGACTATATAAGTAGCTTCTCTTTAATACTAAACCCCAGGTATAAATATAGCTATAAATAAATATATCTAGTACTTTAAAGGAAGAACCCTTAAGAAGGTTATTATCCCTTCTAAGCCTATATCTAAAGGGTTTAAAATCTGGGCTATAGCTAAAGCTAGCTATTTCCTCTTATAGCTACTATACCTACTTAGTAAGATATTTAACTCTATTAGTAATAATAAGCTTTAAATAAGGAAGAGGAAGAGGGATAATAAATATAGCCTTAACCTAATACAGGCTATAGTAGTTAACCTAGTAAAACAGCTACTGCTAGCTATATATTATATCTTCTTAGATAATCTCTTCTTAAGCTCTAATCTCTTTATAGTTCTGTAAGTATTAAATATTAGAGTAATCAGTACCTACTGTATTAATAGTAGTATCTTCAAACAGCTTATATAGCTAAAGAAGGATAATATAAATAGTAAGCTGTATTAGGCTTAGGGTTAGATAGAGATAGTTCTAATACTGGATAATAAGGTTAATTAAGCTAGAAAGGAATTACCTAGGAAATTCCCTACTAATAGCTTCTTAGATTAATTAAATCGCTTAGAAGGATAATATACTTATACTGCTGCTTTCTATAGTCTATGAGGGTATAGAGTTTATAATATATATTCAGAAGTAGCTAATAATAATATATATCTGAGTATATACTATTAAGTATTTCTTTAGTACTAAGCTAGTTAAAGAGGTCTAGGTTTTATCTATAGCTACTGATTATAATAATTATATAGAAGCTATAAATAGGGGTAATCAGCTGTAGTAGTAAGAGGGATTAGATTACTGGATTTATAAGGGGCCTTAGTAGGTATTAGTATAGGGCTTTCTCCTTAAGACTACTCTTTTAAATACCTTCTTACTATAGAAGAATAGCTAGCTAAATTAGAAGCTGTTCCAGACCTTATATAAGTAGCAGGAGCAGATTTCTTATAATCTCCTATCCTAATATAATTAAAAAGTAAGCCTATAGTAGAAGAACTATACAGAGGATATAAATATACCTGTTTTATAGTATATTTATATCCGATAAAAGAGCCCGGGCTGCTGTACAGTCTGCAGAGGTATCTATTGGTATAAGCCTGCAAAAACAGTATTTACAGAGGTTAGTAGGAATAGAAGGGTACTGTAGTTAAGGTCCGGCTGTAAGTAATATAATATTCCTCTTTATAACTTAAACTATTACTAGGACTTCTATTATAGGCTAAATTAGTATAGAAATACAAGTACCTATTACTACTAGGGTTTTAGGCTAATCAGACCCCTGTAAGGTATAAAGTATAGCTTCCGATGTACCAAAGAGATGGTGTGAGGTATAAGTAGGGGCTAAATTTCCCTTTATAAGACCTACTTTTATATAGATCTATAGTATTAATATTACTATAAATTAGTAGATAAATTTATCTGTAACTCAGAATTTCCTTACCTTTTAACCTTATCTCTCTTAACTAATTAGAATATAGGATTTTATTTAAATATAGCTTAGTTAGCTGTAGCAGTAGCTAGCTAATCTAGAAACCTTTATTCAGAATTCTGCTAACCCAGACCGCCTATAAATACCTGGACCGGAGGCTCTAGAATATAGTAAGCTAAAGTATTACTATTTATTATATAATAAGTGCTTCCGGGTTTAAACAGCCTATAAATTAGGGCTTAAGGAAGGGCAGATAATATAGTAATTCGGCTTTTTATAGAAGTAGGTTTAAACTACCTTAAATAACTATCTTATACTGTAAAAAAGATCAGGCTAGCCTGGAATACTTATATTAGTACAGATTAATAAGCTAGTTAAATTTATCTATACCTTAGTAGCTAATAGGAGGCTAGCTTACTATAAGATCCTGCCTATAATTAGCTGGGATTACTCTGAGTAGGTTATCTACTTAGCGCTTTAGAGTAAGGGTTTTTCCAGATATATAGTATACTATAAGCTACTAATTAGTAAGAAAATATACTGAAAGTAGCTAGCTTTTATAGAGGCCTACTTAAATTAGTTAGTTAACTAATAGTATTTAATTTTATAGACTAATAAGATCTGAATAATAGATAGGTACTATATATATATATAGATTATATACTATATTAGTAAAGAGTATAATATTATATATATTATTAAGTACTTTTAATAAAAGTAGGGCTAGATATTCTAGAGTAGTTTTATTATAACTAATTAGAAGCTAGAGATTTTCTTTAAGAAAGAGTAGGACTTTATTAGTAGCTAATTATATTATAAGTATATAGTTCCTATTATCTATAGCTGGATAAGGCTTAAGACCTAAAGAGAAAGGCTACTAGTTCTAATATAGGATAATACCTTCAGTTATACTGTAGCTGCTATATATATAGAGCTCGAAGAGCATTTAATTAAGCTTCTTAATTAGCTATCTTATTTACTCGATCTAAACCTAATTAAGACAGTTTAGAACTAGATAAAAGACTATCTAGCAGCCTACTTTCCTGAAAAGATAAGCTATAATTTACTAAGAGCTACTGTATAAAAGGCCTGGGAGGCAGTACTACTAGGCTATTTTAAGGAATTACTAGAATCTATACCTAATTAGGTAACTACTGTAGTTACAGCTAATAGGATATATATAAAGTTTTAGTTAGCAATCTAGATTAGTTAGTAAGAGATCTGAATTACAGTATATCTCATACTAATTTACAGTAGAAGGGCTCCCTGTAAAGCCCTACTTTAATGAGATTTGGCCCCTACTTATACCTTATACTATAGTAAAGCCCATATCCGAAGAAAGAGCTCTTAATTCACGCTATGGTTCCGTTGTATGCAATTTTGAGGCAGATTCTCGTGCGTAAGAGAGTTTGAGTCAAAAGCTAAACAATAGAAGAATGACCCGACAGCTCAACACAATGAATACGAAAGGTTATTATTATTATTATTATTTTTTTTAAAAAAAAAAAAAGGCTTCGCTAGCCTAGAGGCAGATTCTCAATTGACGTTGTCACATGATTGATAAAAGAGGATTGCGATGATGAATGGAGGGGGCACAATCAATGTGCAACACAGGATTAAAGGTGTAGACAATTCTCAGCGCATTCGTCCAGCTGGAAAGAGCAACACTTTTGGTTCAATATGTGTTAGATCTATAGGTAGGGCCTTGAAAGGAAGGCTTTCGGCACTCTGGGATCGCCAACGAGCATTGGAGCCTGCCTGTATATGGATCCCAACGATCTCTGAGGGCACCGAAAGCTCGGATTCATTTCGCCTGACATCCCCAAGCTGGACATCCACATACTGCTCTTCAAAAGTGCCTTCCGTCGAGTCACCATCGTGAGTAATTTGGCGTAGGAAGCGAGGCCCAGGTGTTTCTGTATTTGTACCTAGTCACCAGTAAGCATTCCTTCTTCCCCGCATATCGTAGGCAACCATCACTAACAGGGCCAAAGCCGATAATCCGAGTTGAGGGCGGTGAGTATTCCCCGGAGATCCGGGAGATAAGATGGCGAGAGAGAAGTCGGACCGAGATTGATAAGCCAGCTCGTGCCGATCCCGCGTTGCACAACAGCTATAAAGCCCGTGGTCGGTATTTTCTGTCTTGTAAACCTCGTCAGCCATCCATTCGTTCATTTGCCTGCTTGGAACCTTCATGATGACTAAAACATCAAACCAACCCGCTAACTCTGGGGAAGACCCTGAGCTGGTTATAAGTCCTGTGACGGACGTGGAGTTGGCTGCCATCTCAAAGGCGGACTCGAAAAAGACCGACCAAGACCCGTTCCTCGTTACCTTCAACCCAGAGTACGATGAGGAAAACCCAAGAGACTGGCGCTCTGGCCGTAAATGGGCAGTCACAGATGTGATTTCCGCCACTGGCTTCAATCGCATCATGGTGTCCACCATCATGGCACCGGCCTTGTCCACCATTGCCCAAGAGTTTGACATGAACTCCGCCGAGTCAGTCATGGCGCTGTCTATCTACCTCCTCGCTACCGCATTTGGTCCCCTATTTATTGGGCCATTGTCCGAGATATACGGCCGTTCGGTGATTCTCCATGCTTCAAATGTCTGGTTTCTTGTCTGGAACATTGCCTGCGGCTTTGCCAATTCTAAAGGCGTGTTGATTGCCGCCCGTTTTATGGCTGGGTTTGGCGCCAGCTCTGTCTATGCGCTATCTGCAGGCGTCCTCGGCGACGTCTGGAGTGCCGAACAGCGTGGCCGGTCATTGGGTTACTATCTGCTCATCCCCCTGCTTGGTGCGGCGGTTGGTAAGTCTCAGCCAAACATAAGACTGCTATCTACTGCATTTGTTCCAACACTGTATCTACGCAGGTCCTATTATCGGTGGTTTCATGGCGGCCCGTACTACTTGGAGGTGGATGTTTTGGTCTACATCAATCTTCCAAGCCGTCATGATTGCCGTGGCATATCTGACCTTCCGTGAATCATATGCACCGCTCATCCTTCGCCGTCGAGCTGAAAGGCTCCGCAAAGAAACCGGCGACTCGCAGTACAAAACCCTAGAGGAGCGAGAGTACGGGCACAAGTCTGCGCTGTCCACCATCTCCCGCGCCCTTTCTCGGCCCATCCGGCTGCTTCTGTTTCACCCCATAATTCAAGTCACTGCGGCGATATCTGCGTTTAATTACGGGATGATGTATATTATCCTTTCTAATTATTCCGATCTCTGGGTTCAAAAGTACGGCATGTCCGTGGAGCTGAGCGGCCTGCATTACCTCGCCATTGCGCTTGGTGAAATTGCAGGTTCCCAGTTGGGAGGGAACGTGATGGACTACTTCTACAAAAGAATTCACGACTCGCGAGGTCCCTCCTCCAGCGGTGAGCTTCAAGTCCCGGAGTATCGCATTCCGCTCATGATCCCCGGGGCTCTCGTGGGGCCTTTGGGACTCGTTGTGTATGGATGGTGCGCCCAGTATAAAGTCCATTGGATAGTTGTTGATCTCGCAATCTTCGTCTACATGTTCGCGTCGCAGACGTCTGGTATGCCATTGACAGCCTATGTCATTGAAACATATGGCAACCATACGGCGAGCGCCACAGCAGCTTCTCAATTCTTGAAGAGCTTGACTGCTTTCTTATTTCCGCTGTTTGCCCCGATCATGTACCAGGCTCTTGGTTATGGATGGGGAACTACCACGCTGGTATTTGCTGGACTAGTCATTGGACTGCCTGCGCCTCTTGTCATCTGGTTCTTCGGGGCGAAACTGAGGGCCAAGGCTCAAAGTAGTTACTGAGTTATCAAGTTGGAAATGAGGAGGTTTTTGGAGGTTGGTTAATAATTAACAATAGCGGCGAGAAGGAGCAATACGGCAAGAATTTTGAGGCATCAGAGGGGTTAGCATATTACAATATCAAACGAGCGAAACAACGAAGAGGAATGTATCGGAAATAGTGATGCGATTCACAGAACTCACCGTCGGGCTCTACGACCACGCTGTCCGTCATGACAAATGATGATCTAATGCGTCTTCGTACCAAATTGACTAGTTGTTGTACCAAGGTTGCCAAGAAAGCAGCAGAGAACCAGAAGAGTCAGACAAAGTCATTCTATTCTTGGTTGATTTCCAAGCGACTGACATCAAACATGGCACACCTGAACCTCCAACGACGAATTGTGACACAATATCAACATAATTAATAATAACCTGGTGATAAATATACTATGAAGCTGAATATTGTAGAAATTGACCTATAGTAGCAGCCCGCATTATGCAAAAGATAGTGGATTGCAAAACAAGTATTTCCAAATTGCTCAAACAACTTTAAGCTTCCGTCTATAGATCCACTCGTTCGATGTGACATTCCACACCCAGCTTCAGGATACGACAGAGCACCTAGCCAGACTGGGCATGAGTAAGATTAGAGTGGAGAGAGCGCATATCTGACGGGCTGAGCAAACCGAAAATCTCACCTCTCGGTATTTACTGCTGCCTGGTTAGGCACGTAAACTAATCTCTGTTCATTAAAAGCGCAATGGCGGCGGCATAGAGCAGTCTAACATCCTATTTACGGGGTTTGTGATATCTTCTGAACACTATGGCGCACACACTCAGCGACTTGAAGAGAATCTATCGGACACGATGGCCTGAGATATGGGCCGACAGCCTGGAGATGGGCCTGCTACGTTCAACCCCCAGGCTCTTCCTCCTCATGGTTGCCATGGCTTCTATGATCGTTCTCATTCCCCTCACACACATGTGCCAATTAACTCTACGCACAGCTGGAAATGTTTATTCCCAACTCACATACACAGGCCTGAGACAGACTTATCGGCACTACCAGGAGCGACAGAGGCGTAAGAAGTTGCTCGACAGGTTTGCCCTCAAATCGTCAATTGTGTTTAATGAAAATGGCCAATTCGGACAAGGAGAAGCAATCCCCATGGAGGGGGGCCCCCTTTCAAGAAACTGCTTCTTCATGCTGCCCCCAGAGATCCGACGGCTGATCCTAGTATACGCATTCGGGAACCGTACACTTCATTTAAGCCTAGAGTTTCGACATCAGATCCAGCTTCGCCATCGCGGTGGGGTCCATTCATCTCATGCGGATTTATCTTGGTGGCCAGATGACATAGCTCCCGAGGAGCTGGACCCGAAACACCTCAGGGATTGGCGATGGTTCAGTACGGTCTGCCACAGAGCCCCGCCTCCGGAGAAGTCAGGTGCTAAACCATTGTCATTCGGGAGGATTTCTTGTGGCAAGCTAAGAAACGAGGAGCCGAACCTTGACGGCTGCCTTTATGGGCTTGCCAGGCGCGGGCATTGTGATGAATGGCCGGGGGAATACCCTGCAAAGTGTATGATTGGAGCTAACGGCTGGTTGCTGTCCTGCAAGAAAGCGTGAGTCCTTCTTCATATATTAATTTCGTGAAATAGTGACTTCCGTTGACTGAGCTTCTTATAGGTACAAGGAGGGATTACACGTGCTCTACAGTACAAACACCATACACATTACTTCAAAAATCCTGCTCACCAGTATGCACCGGATCATTTCTCCAGTCATGCTCTCAAGTGTTCGATCGCTCGAGCTGGTTTGGAACCCGGACGAGTTGCCCTTCGAGTTGGGCTTCGGCAACCCCTGTGAAGAGAAATCTGATATTGCGGGATCACCCGTGTTCTCCTCCCTAGACCATCTTCGAATATCATTCCTCTTCGATCAGTTGGGGTCACGATACCAACATGTTCCAGACGACCGCGTGATAATGTGGAGGGAAATCTTCTCAAAACTCGATATCCTTCTAGATAGAATTGTACCGTCATCGACAGAAGTGATAGTCTCATGTACAACCCCCGAACTTTATGACAACATCCATGTCCTCTTCCAGCTCTCTAGGACTCAGGGCAACAAAATCCTGGCGCCAAAAGAAGCGGATATTGGTGGTCAGATGATTTGGCGCCCGAGGATGGCTCTACATGCGGATTGTGTGCGGGACTTAGAGCAAGGAGGGAGTGGCAGCCTGAGAACCGGTTTCTGGATCCATCAGCCGACTTGGATGGTCGGTCTTGATGCAGAGGGCATGACTAGTGACTCTCTTCCATTTAGAGTTCCTCGCTGGAGACAATTGGACCATGAATCCAGGCGAGAAACTTATTTCACAGTCATAACAAGTCAATTTTCTACCTAGGACCGGGGTGTCTAGTTTCATTAGAAGATAGTTTACCTTGTAAAAACCTCACCCGCACAGTATATAGCAGGCCTGGACTAAAAATCTATTACTGAGGCTAGAACTATAAATATCTAGTAAGACCCAGGCTCTACATAATAAACAGTATTTATTGAATATGGTAATTCACAGCTAAGCTAGGCTTAGATCATTTACATTACAATAACTATCGCCAACTAAGGGTTCTTCATAAGAGTTGCTTCAGCCTGGATTCAAACCAAGGACCTTGATTGAGCGGGCTTATACTCCAAGACTGACCCCAGTTTGCCAGGTTTAGACTAATCTCTCTCAGGGCCTTCTGCAGTGTAATAAGCAGTTGCACTACTGGGGCCTGGAAATTTTTTAGTTAATTGATCGATATTCGTTTACTATGAGATACTATTTATAGGGAAAAGAGCATTGATCTAATCATATCACGTGCACCTCTACCAAAGAACATCTAAATCTTAATAAAACCTCTTGAAGAATCACAGAAAACGACAGAGAGACAATGAAATCAACAGAATGTCAAGTCTACAAAGCAATAAAAACGAGGAGAATATCAATAGTCAATTATAAGCTCCCATCGTTATCTGAAGCACACAATCTTTCAACATATCTCCAAGTCATCTAGTGTGCATCTTAGGAGAGGCTTCAGGCTGAAATATGCACTAGACAGATGTTTCCAAGCTAGATTCGGCCAGTTCCACTTTCATTATCATGCCATCGACAGGCCTAGCAGAGATTTGGAAAGTCTACATCGAGAGCCGAGAGAAAAGCAATCAGAAATGTATTCAGATAATGGCTGAGGGGGGAATAACAACTCACGGAATATAGCTCTGATTTGGTCTTGTACTGCCCCTTGTTATCGAACATTGGTTGGCCCTTCTCATCCAAGTCTGACTCTCCAAGGCCGACTTTAGAGAACTTATATTTGTGGGCCAGAATGGTGATGGCGATGCGTGCTTCAATATTTGCAAGTTCCTGCCCGATGCAGTTCCTCGGGCCCCTCTCGAATGGCCTCCAGGCACCAGGGGGGAAAGAGCCTGACGAGGCCATGAAAAGAGACTCGTCATCTCCAGTGCCCTTGGTCCCACCACCAACGAGCCAGCGTTCTGGTCGGAACTCTTCCGCCGTTTCACCAAATACGGCTCGGTCGCGGTGGATGATAGTGTGGTTGATGTACATCCAGGTGCCATCTAGGCAGTACTCGCCCTGAGGTGTGGAAACAATACATGTGCTTCCAGAGTTGGGCATCGTCATACGAACTGAGCCGGCCGGTGGGTGCAGTCTAAGAGTTTCGCGTATAACAGCCGAGATATAGGTCATTTGATGAACCAGCTCTGCTCCTCCCGAAGATGAAAGTCTTGCACAAATGGCGCGTGGATCATATGCATCGGAACCAAAAAGTGTTTTCACTTCCTCCTGAACGGCCTTGAGAGCATGTGGTGTACGGGAGAGCTCATATATAGACCAGTCGATAAGAACACTAGTCGTATCATGGCCAGCTAGGAGGAACGCCTTGAGTTGGTCATAGGCTTCCTCTAGGATCTCGGGTGTGATGTGTTCAACATCTTGCAGCGCCAACGTCAGAATCGTACGTGAGCGGCCTGTTAAAGGAGCAGAATGTAATGTCTTGAGTTTTTCGTCTACGATCTCTCTTAGTCTCCTGTTTATGAACACTGAGAGGCGAAGGCGTTTTATCTCAGTCAAGGGTATGAGCCACCAGGGCAAAAACAACTTGTCATCTGCATAGGCTGAATTGGTGAAAATGTTAACTCAGGTATTATATGCGAGAGATTGATCATATACGTACTCTTGATGAGTTCCTTGAAGCGGCGAACAAACTCCCCCTGCTGAGAAGCATCGCCTTTTTGGGCCTCCATATCGACATCCATGGCAACAGTGCCAATGATATCAAACGTCAAGTTAGTAGTCAAGTCAGATAGCCTAAATGGCTGGCCTATTCGTGCGCGCTCATCAAGATGGTTTAAGAAAGGGACAGTCTTCTCGAGGATGCCTGGGAGGAGAGTCATGAGGTGGGCTGGGGCAAAACCTTGATTGAATCTCTTCCGGACTCCCTTCCAACTTTCATTCTTAGAAAGAATACAGGTCTTAGCATATCTAGGTTCATAAAGTAATCGCCATGTGCGCGGAATATCTGTGTCCATTCACACAGTTCGGATGCGTCATACCTGGTGAAAGAAGATTGCCTTTGAGCCTATCAAAGGGATCATGCGCACTGTGGTTGGTGCCTTGTGCACACTATAAGGAAACCCTTTGGATGGTCTTGAAAGCTGCTCTGCAAGCTCGTAATTGGCGATGACGACTGTGGGCGGGTTAATTGGCCGCATGTCGAGCATGAAGAAAGGAGGTGATCCGATATCCTTGTGGATTTCGGCCATGATGGCATCTATGTCAGGTGTGTTAGTGTTAAAAAATCCTCATTTTTCTGATGAATCCTGCAGCAGGAGACCCAAAAGCGCAATTATGGCAAGGCACAATCATTGACAGGGTGAAATGCTACCTGGATGGCGGTCGTGATTTCCACGTTTGGTGTATTCGTCGAACAGCTTGAGGTGACCCCACAGAAGCGACGCCTTCGCCTGTGGAAGATGGGCATATTGCTTGAGCCTTTTCTCACTGAGCTTGATGTAGAGGTAAGTCGCAGTGATGACGACCGAGGTCAGGATCACAGCAGTGAGGCCGTGACCCATATTCAGCAAGAAGAACATGATGGTGTCAGCAGCGGAGCAAGATATCCTTGGCTATATCATTAAAAGATGAGATTTTCTGTTACTTGTAGCATTGTATCGTAGACAGATCACTTGTCCTGGATATCCAATGGGAAGGAATGCAGAATTGAGCGGCCACGAGTAGGAATGTGTTGGAGGTGTTTCGTAAGATTGAAATTGGACAAGGTGCGATGTGGCTTTTCCACCCATCAGACTGGAACCAGGGGCAAAGCAATATTCCCTTTGCGAATTCATATTCTAGCCAATCAGTAAGCTGAAATTTGGCTGTTGGCTCGGATATAGTTCAGCTTAGACACCAGGCAGGATTCACTTGCATATGTATGTTGGTCAGAAGAGGGTCTTACGCCAAGAAAAATTTATCCAGTGGAGATAAACCGGGAATCGATCTGCCTCCGTATTATTTTCTATCACTATTGTACTTCTATGGGATAGTAGTGGTTAGGGTCAATACTTCAGTTAGTTTTCTTACTCGCTACTGGGTAATTTGTCTTGATGAATTGCTTCTTCTTGTTCTACCTGGGCTCCGTGCTGTGTCTTATTTAGCAGAGAGACCAAATCCCAATACGGTAAGTAAGATTGTAGGCCAGACTTGGCAATCTCACTCTGCTAAAGTACTACTCTCAGGCCTCGTTGTCTGTTATTATAGACTGGTTGTTAGTTCACCCCTCATCAAACTTGTGTATTATTAATACTCTGTCTCCATAATATCTACATCATCGCTTCATAAGGCCAAAAGGGACTGATTTATGGCCAGTGAAACAATATCCCTGTCTATTCTATTTTCTGTCCGTTGCCTTCCCCTAACAAAACCGGCCCTGGCCAAAATTCAGCCATACACCTTCCTATTTCGCCCCTGATTGTAAAATGAGATAGCGATTGGCTGTGAAAACAGAGATATGTTCCTTGTATACAAATTCTGTTTGCTCGACTCATTGACCAGATTGTGCCAATTCTTGTGATTCAATGGCAGCGCCCCGTCATTTTGTGCGCCTCAACCAGCATAATGTCTTCAGGTTTATTGATAGAAATTCGCAGCCTTTCCGATGACCGTGAAACAGTATAGAGTAATGAAAATGACAAATTAAAGAAATAAGTATTTTTTATTACATGAGTTTATACTTTTATATGTGTGTTATACTTAGAAGCTGCCAAACCAGATACTATCTGGTGGTCGCTGGCCCGTCTCAACGCCGTTTCTGTGACATAGTTCTCTCTGCTCTGGATCTACCTCCCACCCTTTGACAACCTCGGATCTCACCATAAACTGCATCAACATTCCAGATTCGGCGTGCCACGTATTATGGCAATGAAAGGCCCACATTCCTGGATTATCCAGGACAACACGAATCACAGCCCAAGCGTACCCTTCAACGGTGATGGTATCTCGACGAAGTGGGTTCTCCAGTAGAGCCTTATTCTCTTCTAGAAGTGCAGGCATTTGCTCTGCTGTAGGTGGGTATCCGCTTGTGCCCTGAAATAAAATAAAAAACCTGTGCCCGTGCATGTGAAATGGGTGCGAGCCGTCGTCAAAGTTGTTGATGGAGATATCGACCGTACGAATTCCAGTTGTTTGGATTACATACTCGTTTTCCCTTTCGAAATCAATCTCGTTGGTAATTAGAGAGCTCTCCGTTGAGGTCACGTTGGCTTCGGAGTCTAGGAACCGGTGGAGCGATGGATATGTCGTGTTTGCATGCCATGTTGAACCATTGAAGAATCCTCGTGCGAGCCTCCAAGCGCCGATCATGAAATTTGCTCGCAAAACAAGGAAGTCATCAGCAGCAGGGGGTGTCATGTTATGAACCGGATGGAGGAGACTTGTGTTGAGGTCACGACAGACCACCTCGATCACTTCTGCCCAGTCCTTACTAGTCGGCGCCGCCTCGCTTAGATGGCCACCTGGGGAGCTGTATCTCATGATAGCCCTGATCTCAGGCTCTAATCGATCGTTTTCTGTCGTGAAGCAGTGTGTGACCATCCGAGCTCGCATCCAGTATGATTCAGCGCTGGTTACATTGGTCTCTAGGATCACGCTATATCTCTGCGCGGGCATGATATTGAGACGGTGGAAGGGTGCAGGGTGGACATCGACACCATCCACCTCGGTAATGTAGAACGGATGTTCGTCAAATTGGATTTGAAATTCGGCAAAGGCACCAACATTGATGAATCGCAGTCTGTGACGTTTTCCCTGTTCTAGGTCAAGAAAGGGGATCTGAGGGTAGCTGTCATCGCACCTCGATCTAGGAAAGTCCTCGCATTTACGCCGGCCTCGGCCGTTGATCAGTGCGTTGTCTGGTACCGGCTCGTCATTTTCCATGTCCGGTTTGAGGTAGTCCATGAGAAGTTCAGCAGTGGTGTTGTGGTAGTGGTCTTGAATCATGATGATACGATCGGTATCATATGACACCTCCTGGACAGTACCTTCATCCGCTGCATGGATCACAACTGGTCCCAGTAGACCATCAGATGCCTGGGCGCTTTGATGGGCATGATACCAATAGGTGCCTGACTGCCCCTTGATATCAAACGTATAAGTGAAATTGGAGTTGGGAGCAATAGCACACTGAGTGATGCCAACAGTTCCATCCATAGTATTTGTTCCGTTCTGGAATAGACCGTGAAAGTGAATTGAGGTAGCATTGACTGCACGATTCTCAATGTGCACAATGATCCGATCACCTTCATTGCACTCAACCAGAGGGCCAGGGAATTGGTTGTTGATGAGCATCATTGGCCGGTAGATGCCATCGGGATTCAGCTCACCGTCCACGATAGCCCAAAAGTATTCACGTGTGGTGGGAGGAGCTCCACTGGCCCAGGCGGGATTCAGCGAGTATTCGGAATCATCCCTTAGTCTTGGTATAACTGGCAGTTCTTCTTTGTACTGAATCAGCTGCGGCGCATGATCTTGCTCGACGTTGGAGGAATCATGTTCATCCTTGCCGTGCACTTTGCCAGGTCGAAGGCCAACGGCGACAACACTCAGTCCCAGGACAGTAGCTACAGCGAGGATGACGAAGATGATTGTTCTAGATAAAGAAAGCTTGGGAGGGATTAATTTCTGCCACCGTGGCCTGAGTTCAGCGGGATGCTTTGGATTGTCGGTCGGCAGAAATGGTTGTTGCTCATCGTGGCCATCACCCTCTTCTTCGCTTGGGCCCATGGCCACCATGTCGGATGTGGGGGCAGGGCGCATTCTGACTCAACGATTAAAAAAAAAACTCAAAAACAATAACAATAACGAAAGAATTAAGCTTCAAGTCCAAGCTGACATGAAGGCCGATGGTTCGTTGCCGCGTCACATGGGGAGCCCTTGCTTGGGAGGGTGGCATGTAGGAACGATACCTTCCAGAAAACGAAGCTGCTGCCACTTGGCCTTTGACTCCGCACTTGACTCGTCCTATTGGAGATGGATGGGCCAGAGAACTTGAGATACGGCGATGGTAGAGGAGGCTTACTGACAGTTAGTCTTGCCGTGAGTCGTGACACACAGATGGCCGACTGTTCCCGTTGCTAAGTCAGTACCAGAGCGAGCACTACTTAGCAAGTTCTCTACACAGCCGACAGAGTCAGTCAGTTCCACTCAGCTGCGCGCTAGGATCATCGACTAAATACAAGGTAATCCCCCAACACCGGGTGAGTCGGCACGCTCCAGGACGCACGTGTGTGCGAGCCCAACAGCACGGAGGCTGCCATTGGCAGTGATCGGCACATTATAACCGAAACTGTGCGGGGAGTTCTAATGCATGGAATTGTCTGCCTGCCATATTCGTAGTTCCAAAGGTCATCGGCTTGGCTAGGAGAGGAGTGAATTGAGAAACACTGGGAGCGACACCAATGCCCACCAGTCAGCACTGTCTAATTTTCAATCAACTGCATGGATAAGGGAAAATATCCCCTGTCGTTAATTGGATGTGGGTATGAATTGAGGTCGTTGTGAAAGCGCATCGCCATCCGCATGTATATCTAGGGCAGTGTCCACGTCCTTGGAGTGTTACGGTTCTCGTCAAGCTGATTGCTCAACACCAGCCTCTTCCACTCTTTTCAAGTAGCCATAATGCTTTTCAAGACCGTTGGCCTTCTTGCCCTGGCTGGCCATGCCGTGGCCAAGCCTTGCAGCAAGGCTCAAAGCGCCACTGCCGCTTCCTCACCAACCAGCACCATTCAATGGGAGACAAAGTACACGGCCACTGGTGCTGCTGATGTAGCTGCTGCTGCAGCCACAGCCAAGACCAGCAGTCCTACTAGCCATGTCAAGGGCAAGGCCTTCGACCGTGTCGTTTACATCTGGTTCGAAAACGAGAACTACGAGAAAGCCGTTGGCGATCGTAAGCTCCTTGCTCAATCTTCCTGCAGCAATATTTCCTTTGCTAACCGTCATATCATAGCCAATTTCGCTCAGTTTGCTTCTCAGGGAATTCTTTTGAACAACTACTTTGGTGTCACGCATCCGTCTGAGCCTAACTACATGGCTGCCGTTGCTGGTGACTACTTTGGCATGGAGAACGACAACTTCAATCGTGCCGACCGTAACATCTCTACGGTTATTGACCTTCTAGAGCAAGCCGGAATTTCCTGGGCACACTATCAGGAGGACATGCCCTACAGTGGATTTGAGGGACAAGCCTGGAAGAACCAGAAGAACGGTGCCAACGACTACGTTCGCAAGCACAACCCTGCTATCTTCCACGATAGCGTCACTTTCTCTGAGCAGCGTCTTTCCCAAATCAAGAACCTGTCTATGATCGACACTTCCAAGTCCATGTTCCATAAGGACCTGAAGGAGAACAAGCTCCCCCAGTGGATGTTCATCACCCCCAACATGACCTCAGATGGCCACGACACCTCCGTCACCGTCGCCGGTAACTGGTGCAAGACTTTCCTGACCCCTCTCCTTTCCGACCCCAACTTCATGGACAACACTCTCGTTGTCATCACCTGGGATGAAAATGAGACCTACACCAACCGCAATCAGATTCTTGGTATTCTCATTGGTGACGCCGTTCCCAAGAATCTTGTTGGCACCACTGACAGCACCTACTACAACCACTACTCCGAAATTGCTACTGTTCAAGCTAACTGGGACCTCCCCACCCTCGGCCGTTGGGATGTCGGTGCCAATGTCTACCAGATGGTCGCCGACAAGACCGGTGACAAGAACCGCCAGTGGTCCATCGATACCAAGATTACAGACTACTACTGGAACGTCTCCTACGCCGGCTACTTCAACTCCAAGGGTGGAAACTCTAGATACCCCGCTCCCAACCTCAAGCTGGATGGCAGTGCTCATGGTCGTAACATCTGGTCCGGCATCAAAAAGATTTGGGCCAACAGCGACGCTCCTACCTACTACAAGGATGCTATCGAGGTCAACGATGGTCTTCACTCCCCCGCTGGCTACCAGAAGCCTTAAAAGGAGTAGATCCAACAGAAGGCTTTAATATGTACCACACAATTATATGTGAACTTGGTTTCGGATCAAAGGCCCCCAGGGTTGGAGTTTGCTATCTTATATCGATTAGTGTCGACTACTCAATAATTATTCCATATATGTCAGGTAATCTGAACATCAATTAGATGTTCTACATTGCTCCAATAAAGCGTACAATAGCCCCGCATGTTAATAGATGATGTTATCATGAAAATTGAAGTCTCTTTGTAAGCAAATCAAGGCGTATTCCAATAGCATACGCACACCTCTATTCTTCACATATCCCATGAGAAAAATCGAGGCCTCTACTTTAGCCCAGTGCTTTATGACCCTTGCTCATAGCCCTCAGAACCATACAGGACACTAAATTACAGTATCTAAGACTTGGCTCGGAACGGATGAAGCGAACCCTTCCCAGGGAACTACGGATAGCGAGATTCTAACCACAGTGCTGGTCAGATTGGGTCCCTGTTTATCTCCACAAACAGTGACAGCACCCCTGTGTTTACCCCTGGTTTGGCTGCCAAGGTTCGCCATCGACGGGAAGCCCCAGTAATCAAAAGTCCGTCATCCCCACCACAAACGGGCGATCGTTCGGCCTTTCGGCTGGCGAATGAAGCAACTGGCATTTCAAAGAAGAGCACGTGGGTGCCATTGGAGGTAACGACACTCCTCTATCGGCAAAAACGAGCCGAGAGGTAAGATGCCGTTGCGTCCGTGTGGTTGCTGTGCGCTATGGGAACTCATTTTTGGCAGCTCCATCTGTCGTTGCTATACATCAGCAATGGCGCCAACTAGCCAGAAGCAATGTCTTCTCGGACTTTTCCGACCCTTTGAAATCTTCCAGTTATCTTGTGCCTCCAGCCTGCTGAGATCGGACGCACGTGTCGCGTGTTTGCTAAGCATCCCCGTCTAGTAGATTCGCCTTCCTCTCTACCTGGCCGACTTTCCCGAAGAGCAAATTTGATTTCTCCCATTCTTACTGCATTCAATGACTTCATCTCGCCAATCGTGATAAGGTAGCTTCTTAGCAGTGCTACGAACATACTTTCGGTCATTCTGGGATCGCAACCAACGAATCCTATGAGCAAACACTCTGGCTTAATCAAATAATACGCTCATTTCTATCATATTTAGTTTCCTTCACTTTCAACTGTTCACTATCCATATCCATATCCTCACCATGCCCCAACAACGGGCTCCGTGGCTTGCCCGTTTTCTATCGGACTTCACTCTGGGCTTCTCTGATGGCCTCACGGTGCCATTCGGCCTCACAGTAGGGCTCAGCTCCCTTGGGCGCACCCAGACAGTCATCTACGCCGGCCTCGCAGAGCTATGCGCTGGAAGCATCAGCATGGGAATCGGTGGCTACTTGTCAGCCCTAGATGATGTGCGCTCCTCAACGCAGCGCCGCAAAGCAAATGACACACCATTTGAAGATGACCACCTGGAAGAGCGGAGAGGCATGCTGGATACCACCGCAGATGATGAGAAGGGTAGCGACGCGGAGCGTATCCGCCGCTACCTGGGGCCCCTTGATCTTCCCGTCGACGCGATTGAAGACCTCTTATCCAGGATCAAGGAGCGAAAAGATGGCCTTTCACATGCTGCTTCTAGAATTTCATTGGAAAGTGAACATATTTTCGAAGATCATCAAAGGCCCTACAACATACAGCCTCTCATCACTGGCCTGTCCATTTCACTAGGCTACATTATTGGAGGACTCATCCCCCTCCTTCCTTACTTTTTCAGCTCTACAATCGGTACAGGGCTGTGCTGGAGTATTGGATTCTGTTTGTTTGCTTTGTTTTCGTTTGGTTTCGGGAAGGCCTGGTTCATGGGTGATGAAGAGATTCGCTGGAGGCGCTGTCTCTGGGAAGGCCTACGGATGTTGGTATTGGGAAGCTTAGCCGCTTCCGCCGCCGTTTTATGCATTAATTTGCTTGGAACTCGAGAGCCGCAAGCCAGTTGATCAAGTAGCAAGCCTCAGCTGGAGATGGGATCAAAGGCCATAATTAAGGTTGTCTGAAAGCAAAGGAATTCGGTGGTCATTGAAGATCAAAACATATATCAGACCAGTCTCTTGTTTCAGTAGAGAGTGAATAGTATCAACACTCTCATCAACTTTCGAGCTTAAATACCAAATATAACACAATATAAGGTCTCTGTTTCTTTGAGATTTTAGATTGATTCATTACGTTGCATAGAGAGCAAGGCACGATGGGGAACTTTTGGTTGTTATATGTAAGTAACCGGTCACGTACTTGGCCTCGTAGTGAATCTAAATTAGTAAAAATAAATCGTCGCTGGAAACAAAGAGCTGAGCTCTCAGGCCACTCTACTCTGGTAGAACTCGTGGTTGCAAAATCTCCGGAGTCGGCTTGTAGGTTCCCTCGAGCCAGATTAACTATACGCTGTTAAAGAAGATTTCATTTAACTTAACTTACGCCAAATTATCTAGACACTTTGCCCAAGTGCAGTAATAGCAAACGCTATCTATAAATGCGCCATTGCTAAAAAGCCTTCATTACCCCCAACTCCTTTCCGTTTCCAGCCTAACACCTATCAAATTATTCTACTTACTTGTAAGTTATCCCTCCAGTTAGGATCCTTTAGTTCCTCTCCCTCCATATATCCATATAAATAAGCTGGTCCAACATATTGGTAGATACCATCGCTCAGGGTAGGTCTTAGGACAAATACCTCGCAGCCACCCAGCATCTTCATCACAACATCTCCAGGCCTTGTATCCACAGGAGCCATGCATGCATGTCCCCCAGCAACTGTGCATAGGGTGAAGTTCTTTAACCTTGACATGCTAGATATAAAAGACTTGCCCAGGTGACGGGCTTGAAGAGGCATGTCTTCAAAGTCCAGATCATCATCGGTACTCATGCTGGCTCTATCCAAGTTACAGTTCCTTTCGGCTTCTATCTTGATCATCTCGACAGCAGTTCGGTATCCAGTAATGATCCCCTGTTTTCCTACCACCGGATCGTGAATATCTTGAGATGAGGCAAGGAGCGTGCATCCCATGATCAAGTGGGTTTCATCGTCATCAGCATCAATAAAACTTTCCACGTGGTTCAAAGTACGTATGAAGGTAGAAAAGCGTTCCGACGCTGTGCTCAGATCTCTAGACTCGTATAAACTGTACAAGTTCCAGTCCCAAGCATCGAATTTGAACAAGACTTCTCCAATCTGTGTGCCTTCAACAGCCAAAACACTGAGGCCATCTTCAAACCACAAGCTGGTCTCAGATCTTATTGCAGGGCTGTGCTTCCAATAACGGGTCTCCATGCCAGAGTTAGACCCGTCAGCGTTCCATGAAGGGATCCACGATGGGAGGGTCTCCGGCCTCATCTCGAGTGGCTCAAAATTGCACGTTAATATTTGCAAGCCATGTGTCTGAATCATAGATGCTGTGCCTTTGGTGAACACCTCGTTGGGAGATTTGAGGTAGTCGATTTCAACACCCAGCTTCATTCTATCACTCGCAACACCCAATAGTGCATATATCCGATCACGCGGATCTTGATAATCCGCAGATTGGAAGCAAGTTAAAAGCTCGTGCAGATGATCTGCGGAGAGCTTCCTGATTCTTCGGCACCAGATTTGTTGGAGGTGGCACAGGCGGTCGATAATCTCATCCATGTCCGGGCTCAGCCTCTCGCTGATGTCCATTTTGTGAAGTATGAAGACAGCGAGCAGCAGCACCGTGTTCTGACTAATGATTCTATTTCCCCGTAGAACCCAAGTATTCCGGTTTAGCATGTTCTCTTGTATCATCCATAGACGTTTAGACCATGGGCCAGTAAGAATCATTAAAAGGTCCAACCATGAAGAGTCCTCCGCAACTGACGTCCTTGGTTGGTTCAGAAGCGATGCCTTGCTTCCCGTCCATGTCCTCTTTGGTGCGAGGGAGATATGGAATTCCATTTTCTGGAAGGCACTCATAACCTGGTGGTAGTTCATCTCGAGTAGTGGCGTTATGAATCTATCGCAAGCCAAATCGAGTAGGAGGAAGGCAGCGCGGTCCGTAGGACGCGCCGGGCCGAGGTAGGTGATTACCGACCTAGCATTCGAATATATCTTGCCCATCAAGCTAACTTGCCGCTGCTTCTCCATGATGTCGTGTTGGTTTATGCAAATTTGATCGATCCAGAGGGTCTTAAACTGCCAGTTCGATCCCATGATATCTTGGATGGCACTGCCAAGGCTAGCAGTCACATTCAGAAGCCCTTCCAAAGACCCATTCTCGTTACAGACTGGAAGTTCGAACAGTCTATCCTCTCTACCCCACGCATAGGATAACGCAACATATTTTGCCTTGTCCACGTCAACATGCTCGATAGTGCAGTAGATCTCTCTTGACTTAGTGGAGCGGAGATGCAAAACGCGGATCTGGCCGGGCGAGAGAGGCCGATGGACATAGTTCTGCTTCCGGTAGCGGAAGAAGAGGTCGACTGTGAACTTGCGCAGCCACTTCCGTCTCGTCCTGTCCATCCTTGGGCGCAGCAAGATGGACACACGTGGGCCAGCATTAGTTGGTCTGGCTTGGTCAACCGTGGGGTCCAATTCGACGAGATGAAAAGACGCAAGACAAGGCATCTGGAAAGATTCCAGAAAAGCTCTCACTCACCTTCTTTCCATTCTGGACGCATCCGTCAGCTGATGGGGGAAACCCTGCGGCAAAGTGTTTCGAGACGCATTGACCCGGCAAGGATCATCAAACAAGCTAAACAGGAAATGTGGCCCTTTCTCACATGCTTACTGTCCCGTTGGCCAATCGAGTTGGATTTTCTACCAGAAATGCATATCATCTAAATGTAATAATAGATTACTCCAAGGGGGAGAACCATGCGAACTCCGGGAGCGGCACATGGGCAGCTTCCACTTTGCCTATAATTGCTAAAAATGGCAGGTAGAAGTCGCCAAACCGTTACATCATAATCAATATGTTTCTGTTGTCTTGAGAAGGTAAACTCAACGCTGTTAAGTAACTATCTAACCTATCTCTGAAAGTTTGCACTTGATCCGAGATCAGGCATCACTCGGCAAAGCCCTCGATCTATAGATCCCGAACATGGAACTAGGGTCGATTATTTGACATAGCGATAGAAAGGAGAGCTGTCGCCCATTTGAAGCAATTGATCTGCATAGAGATTTGTTAGCTCGAGAGCCGTGACATCCCCAAGTTTCCACTTACCATGACTATACTTTGCCCTGATCTCGTCGTCAGACATGGCTTGTCGCGCTGTGTTGATTCGAGTTACCACAACACGGAGAATCATTGCAGCACCCACTCCAGCGCACACAACGGCGAGTGACAAGCCGTACCCCAACGGATATCTGGGGGCTTGACTTTCCAGGAAGATATTGGCTCCCACTGCGCCTCCGAGGTTTCCGATCGACATAAGCAATGCCATACCAACTGCTCGTTTCCAGGTTGGAGCGAGATTGTTGCTAATCCAGGAAATGCAACCAATGACTGCTGGGTACAGACCAGAAGGAACAAAGAACAGCATTGCATATGTCAGCCCTGGAAGCTTGGGATGCGGAATAGATAGTAGACCGATGAACCCAACAGCTGAAATACAGAAAGGGATAACGACAAAGGGCCAACGAGTCTTCTTGCGATCGGCGAGTCTTGCAAAGAGGTAGGTAGCAAGAGCACCAACAAAATACACAGGAATTGTCAGCAGTTGGGCATTCGCTGCAGAATAGCCAAGTTGCTGAATGATTGTAGGCATGGCGAAGCTGAATGCATAAATGCAAATCCTATTGAGACATGTCAGCCATGGGTCACGGTATGATATCAACAAACCACTTACGTATTCCCCCAAAACATGATGATGCCGAGATAAATCTTATAGTCCAGCAGTGCAGCACGAAGATACCGCCATTGAAAAGCCTCCTCTGTGGCAACCTTCCCTTCGGAAGTACCCGAATCACGCTGGAGTCTCTGTTGAATCAACTCTTTTTCTCTGGGGGTCAGGAATTTGGCCACGGCTGGGGAGTCAGGGAGTGTCCACGGGAGGATAGTGCCAATCAAAACAGTCATGATCCCTTCTAGAATAAAGATCCATCTCCAGCCACCTAGTCCCGCAACTCCCTCCATGTGCTGGATTCCATAGGCCAGGAGGCCCGAAAATCCTCCGGCTAGAGAGGCAGCGGAGAAGAAAATAGCTACACGGGTCTGGTACTCCCAACGACAATACCATGTAGTCAGTAAATAAGTTGCAGCGGGAAAGAAACCAGCTTCAGTAATCCCCAAGAACACACGGGTCACAATAAGCTGCTCATAGTTTTTGACAATGCCTTGAAGCGCCAGGACCTGTAGTTGGCTATCGGTTAGCTGGGTGCAATCATGAGTTTGGTCGAGCCACCCACAGTTCCCCATGATATTACAAGAGCAGCGATCCACCGCGATGGCCGTGTGAGCTTCAGGATAACATTGCTCGGAACTTCAAGTAATGAATAGGGGAAGAAAAACACAGTAAGAGCCATGTTATACTGAGTGCCTGTGAGGTTGAGATCTTTGTTCATGCCGGCAACTTTAGCATTTCCGATATTCGAGCGATCTTATCACTTGCAAGTTAGCCTTGGTTGCAACATTCACATGGTAGCACTCAACTATACCCATAAATGAGAACACATAGAGAACCGTCAGCAAAGGCAGGATCCTCATGTCAGCCTTGCGGAGTGCTATTCGGGCTTCCTTCTCCTCGTCCGCGATAGTTCCTAAAGCAACCGACGGCGTGTCATTCTCTGGCAAATTTTCGATAGAATGAACCTTGCGCACGTCCTCGGGGCACATTAACTTCTCCATGGTGCTCCAATTCGATCAAGTCCAGGGGGTATGATTCGCAAAAATGGAAGAAGAAATGGACTTGCCGGAGTGTCTTATACTCGGAAGCTTACCATATCACAAACTTAAATTCTCCCGTATCGGAGCTGTTGGCACTATAA